GATATCTCGTCCAATATAATTATCTACCTACCTATACACGAACTATACCTAAGAGTCCCCACTATCGAAATATGTTTTACTTTTTCGCGGACACTCTATAGGGTATCCCAAAAATGTCTCGCAATCCGGAAATAGGGAATTTCTGAGGTCATTCGAAGTCACTTTTTCCTTAGTGAAAATGCAATCCGCGGCTTCGTTTACGAGTTATTAACGAAAAGCGCTGACCAATAAGAAGCGAGCTAGGCTGGCGGGAGGCGATCCAGGCAACGAGCGCGCAAAACCCAGTTTCATTCATTGCCTCCAATCCTATTTGTGTGGTCTCTTCTTTGCCGCTTTGAGCAGATTCCGAGCCAGAATCCCTGACACCATTGAACACACTGGCCTTGAGTAGAAATTCCACGAACGGTCGGAATCAGACCTCCCAGCATCCGGACCGCTTTTCTTTTTTTCCAAGAAAGTAGGAGCGAGAGAATTACCCGTCGCAAATGGGATTGAATGATGCCAATGGATCCACAATCCACCAATGGACACGATGGCCTTGAGTGAAATTTCACGAACGGTCAGTATATTGGGAGATCTGGTCACCAATTGTTTCAGAGTATGAGCTTAGAGTTTTTGATGCGTAGATATGTATAATTCAGAAAAATAAAACGGACGAACATAGATAGCGTAAAGTTTTTAAAAAAGAATCGTGCAGTGAAATTTATTTACTGAAATTCTATACGAATATAGAATATGTTTCTTTACATTCACGATTTAATAGACGCCGATGGTGACTTTGCTACGCCGCAAATTGTTGGTAGTTACAGTATCAACGGTGACGGGGAATATTGTGATGATCTATCCCAATTGAGATATATAAAACAATCGAAAAAGTTTCCTTTTAATCTCGATGACACCCGGGGGATGATAAAAAAATCGGACAAAGACGTTAAAATCAGTTATCTATTACGATGGATAACGGAACATTTTGACGATCTTAGAAACCAAGATTCAAATAATGCAACCACAAAATGGTTTGTGCACAGAATAAATTACATTCGTGACATAAAAGTTATTTTACTTCATTGTTTCAACTATTGTTTATTTATATACTTTTAGGTTAGAGGCAGACTTTGTCTGCTACCGCGGTTTATTAAGAACTTTGTTAGCCACTCCGTACGATACAGAAGGTTGGCTAATATGTGCTTCAAAATTTAAGGGAACGATATATTTGTGCGCTTACGATACCGAGGCAAAAAAACAAAGAGTATTAACGGAAACTGCTTATAGTAAAAGATGTACACTTTGGGGTCACAAATTTGAAAAATACATGGTAGCAGGTACGCGAATAAAATTTCTTATTCAATTATTTCTTCCGAAAATAAACGATGATCATTTGCTACGCGTTCCGTTAGCATCACCTACTGCGGAACCCGATTTATCTGTTCCTCTAAATCTAAACGAATTATTTGGCGGAGTATTTAAGTCCCAGCTTGGTAATAGAGTTTTACTCTATGCCGGTGAAATGGACGCTATTTATTCCAAAGAGCCGATATTAGGAACGAATACTATAAAAGGAAAAAATATCGAATTCATAGAATTAAAAACTATCAATAAAAAATTTATTACTCGTAATGGCCATATGACTTATAACCAAATAGCTCAGAGAGGAGAAAAATTATTAAGATGGTTTCTCCAAAGCCATTTAGTTGGTATAAAAAGAATTATATGTGGCTGTAGAGACTTTAAAGGAATTGTTAATAAGGTAGTGGAATTTAAAATAGATAAGATAAGAGAGGATTCTCAGGTATTTATGACCGCTTAATATAAATCAAGGCTCGGAATTAACTTGCCCGCTTCAGAGTGGTGAAGGGAATATTTCACAAATGGGATTGGATGATGCAAATGGATTCCAATAGCAATTTCTAATGTCAGTGTTGCCGGTATTCATCGGCCCTCCCCCACCACCACACAGCACATTTCGGACCAGGTTCCGAAAATGCTCTGTCGCGAGCAAGTTAATTCCCCGAACACAGACTCAAACCAAACGTATACAGTAATGGGGCCTACTCCTGTACGTTTTGCTTACTCTTTAAAGCTGGCGCGCATATTTCCACCATTTTACTGCGCATTCAATTCTGTCTCGGCATTGAATCGTCAGCCAATCATAGCAAAGAAAATTTTTGCCACGACCCTCGCTGACGGATCAAGCTGCAACCTGGCGGTGTACAGGAATGGGACCCATTACAATAATTCAGAATCTGATAGCATCGTTTCGATTACAGAAAAACTGGGATTTTGAAATTTGTAAAAAATTTGCGATTGGATTTATAGATCGCATAAGGGAAATTGTTTCCCTCAATTACGATAATTGTATGTATCAATTTATATATGAACCAGGAAGAAATCGTATTAATGTGGTGACATCAAGACCCGATCCTGACCCAGAATCAGAATATACATTTTTATATTCGTGGTACGTTAACGCAGCTAGACGCCACTTTGAGAACAGTGAAATAGCTAACTGACAACACGTATTGCTTTATAAGAAAAACTATAAATTTATATATAGATTCTTCACAACTTTAAAAGATGTGTGAAATCGGATATTTTAACTAATACTGTAAGCTTAGTGATAAATTAAAATAAAGTATGAATAACCTCAATTTATAAAAACAACAAACAAATTGAATACTATAATTTATATTTAGCAAATCTTATTGTCCAATGACTCATGACAATATATTATAGTATTCGTTTGTTAACTTCTCGAGATTTCGTTTTTTGTCAACTATTTTGATAGATAATCATCAGAATACTGTATCTGTAAATCTAAATGAATTTGGCTTATTATTACATTAGAAACAAAATTTCAATTTAGAAGCAAGAGTTTTCACATCGACAAAGAACTTGTATAATTTTAATAGTTTTCACCCAACATTTGTTTTATTGCAGACATTTCTTTATGAGACATAGGCTTTAACAGTAAGCCTGCGACAGGTGTATCGAGTTCCAGGTCTCGTAATTCGTTTACTTTTATTTTTAAATTGCTTCTTAACTTGTTGATTTCAATATCACATTCTCTTTGATCTGAAATATATGGGTTAGAAATAAAGTTGAACATAATTTATGGTTTAGAAATAGAAATAATAACAGTGATGGTAATAGTAATATTAACAAGAATAGAAGTAGGAATAGTAATAATAGTAGTCATAGTAATAGAGTAAAAATAGAATTATAAAAGTAAAGAAGTAACAACCTTTCACAAGTAACTCTTCTGCAGTTTTAGATGGCATTTTAAACAACAGTGGTCCAACGGTTACCCAACTATTCTTACACTTCTCCTCTTGCAATGCTCTCATTCCAACTCTATCGTCATTTCTTCTTTTGTCCAAAGCAATTATTTCTTGCCGATCTGTGAGAATTTCACCAGCTTTTTCTTCTACCAGTTCTATGTGTTTTAATGCCTTGTCATGATCAAATTTCATCTGTAACAAAAATGGTATTTATTTATATATAGCGTTATGTTTACAAGAACGTTTTGCTATATAAAACAAAACAAAGTAAATGTTCACTTACACATTTTACAGAGATAGCAAATATAAAAATTACACCATATTCAGTCTTTAAAAGAGGAATGAATATTACTTTGTAATTGTGAAAGTCCTATGTGTTGGTTTAAGATAAAGCAATACGCAATACTCTTTCCTTCCTAACTTCTCTATTTAATAATTTTTCCCTATCTTTCTTCTTTAAACATTTCTGTTTGGAAGATTTAGTATCATTAATTAATGCTGGATCTCCGGATTTGAAATGAGTGACTCTGTATTCTTTTTCACTCGATTGACCTAATCCTTTCCTATCATTTTTTAGACAAGTTTTAATAGGATATTTTATTCCTTTCCCCAATGGACCAAGACCGACTTGTTCATCCCATCCAGTGTTTAAAAGCATTTGATAACCTTTGTTTTGTTTCGATATACCATACATAGCATTTGACAGTTTTGGTTTCATATTAAATAAATGAAGTACAGATGTTTCATGCTTTTCCCAAGCTGTACAATGGAAATTTACTTTGCAAATATCACAATAAAACCCTGAATTCTCTTCCAATTGACAATTAATATTATCTCTAATATCGAGCATGGTGTCGTTACAATTTGTTAAGGACTGTTCTATTAAATCCAACTTTGTATGCGATGAAGTATCAAGATTTGTTCTTGGATTATTGGTTTGTACGTTTTGAGAAATTTGACTACCTCTGCATTCTGTTTTCTTTTTTAGTAAAGCGACTATAGTTAGATAATTTTTTTTCAATGCCAGTTGTGCAGCAGTAAGTCCAGATTTTTCCCTCGCTTCCTTACTAGCTCCCAAACTTAGGAGAAATTCTATGATGTCCAGGTGTCCGCAATAGGCAGCTGACATTAAAGGTGTCCAACCAAAATCATCTGTTAAATTAACATTTTCTTGCGTTACATGTTTCAACAAGAATTGTAGGTCCTTTTGTTCAATCGCTTTCAATATAGCATTGATCGACACCTGTTCTTCTGCACACTGTTTCTTTTTCATTTTTTCATTGGAAACGATTGCCTTTACTGCCATAGTTTTTTGGATGACAAGCCTCTTCTGTTTACAGTTTTTCAGTTCCCCCCCCTCCGTTGAAAATATTGCATTACTTTCTTCATTTAGAATTTCTTCATAAGCTTTTCTTGCTTCGCTTCCTTCGAATCCTAATCGATATTCGATTCTTTCTGGCAATTCGTTAGGAATATCATGAGATTCTTTAACAAATGTTTTCCATCTCGTCATATCGATATTACGTATAGAAAAATTGCTTTGCTTCAACATTAAAGCGGAATATATCGTTTGAACCTTCGATAAATGTATTACTATGCATGCACATGTATGACTATGGTATACGTATATCGTATACCATATATAGATATAGTACCTCCGATGAAATTAATTTTCATTTAATCGTCAATACATATGTATATATATATTATATATATCTAAACCGACTTAGATGATCGTTTGACAAATGGCATCGTTTGTTTCATGAGTTCGATTTGAATTCCTATTAACATATCAAATCTTAACGATTTGTCAATGACTAAAAATGTAAACTAAATATTCACTGAAACGATCTATCGTTGATACGTTTTTAATGTAAGGCAAGAATTTACCTTCTGTAACATAATCGCAGATTTTAATGTCGACTTTCTTCGTGCAAGATCATGCGAGATACGATACGAATACGAGTTCGCATGATGTGGGCAATGGTGGCGTCTCTTTTGAAGAAAAAAAGAAGCTTTATCGAGTATCCGTACAGCGCCAATTGGGGTAGTAGCAAAACGCTCAATCTGTTAGCCGAAAATCGACTGTCAGTAATTTGGCTAACAGTTGGCGCTGTACCGACCTTGAATGAAGTTTTACTCTTCTCTCACAAGAGGCGCCACGTGTGCACGACGCGGCGTCGCTGACGTCACCAGTATCGTGGTATCATATCATTGCTTACGAGGTAGCAACATAACCTGGCTCTTTTAACTTTGACGTATCACACAAATTATTCTAAAGACATGATCAATCCATTGAGAAAATTATTTCCATTTCTAGAATATTGGTATTTTCGATACATGCTTGTTACAGAGCTTTACATGGTTGAAAAATGGGAAAGGAAGTTTATAAGTATCCTTTTACTAAAAAAAAAGTCTCTTAAAAATGATCTAAGCTTGACACGCATTCTGAGTAGAAATATTCCTATATTAATTATAGACACATTTTTGATCACTCTCTTCTGCTCATTCTTTCTATTTAATTATAGCATTGTGCTACCATTTGTGCAGCATACGTTGCGTACTTGAAACACAGTTCGATGCAACGGGTTATTAAATCGAAGTTGTTACTCTTTCCCCACATTCCAGTATTGCATCGAATTATTTTATATAAATTGTTCTTCATAATTGTACGTACAATGTTATTGTTTTGTATGATGCAAGCTTAAATAAACAACTCATGAAATGTATATACGCGCATAAAAAGCACCGGTTATCAATGATTTGTATTGAGAACCGATTCTTCTATTTCTGGGAACCCACATCCACTAAATAATTATTTGTTCAAGGTTAAAAATAATCGTACATAGACAGTTTTGTAATGTTCATTATATTTAATAATGGTGAACACGAACACAGTTTTTCAATAATGATATTTCGCATGTAAGTAGGCACAACAGGTGCTGTATGAATCACAAATTCTCTTATTTTTTTTCTTGTTCAATCGAAAAATTCAATGACTATACTAGATAACACTGCTTTCTGATGTTGAGCTTACGAATTCCTATGAACACAATTTAATTAAACGTAAACTAAATTATGCGTGAATCATGATTTAGTTAAATTAGAAATAAATTTTGAGGAACAAGATAAAATTGTATTGCTAAAGCATATAAAACCTCTAGCATATTGTGTATCTCAAGCAACCATTGTACTGTATATACATGTCCTTCTTTTCAAAATATATACATAATCGTAATGCAAACATTGATGCAGTTAAAACAATAACCTATCGTTTAAATTAATCTACTATTTTTTTTTTAAATGTAGAGTATGTATGGTTTAGTTACTAATATTGCAATTTGTTTTGTTAGGAGGAAATTTGAAAAGAATTCCTAATCCTCGACGCTATAATACTGTGCATACGACAATAGTGGATCCAAACTGTTCCTTTCTGCAACTTTCAAATCAAAGATTTCAATATGAAGACAATCGATACTTTCGGTAGGAATGTAAACGCAATCGCAAGCTTATAAACATTAGAAGAAATTACCGTCTTACTTTAGAACGCAGAATGACAACAAATAAGGAAGAGACAAGTGTTAGGAAAACAATTGTTTCTCAAATTTCGTAGCATTTCCGTAAAATTAATAAATATCTTTTTTGTTTTCAAAGTATCGACAATCCGTATCCATGCAGTGATCTTTGGTCCCAGTACTGTACATATGCTAACGCTGACTGTGATGGTAAGTTGGTAGTTTCGAATGGAAAATTAATAAGGTAACATATGATAGCTCTATCGAATATGAATACGGAGACTCATATTAAAGGTAAGTATGATATGGACGTTCCGTATGATCGCAAATCGTTTTCGGTATCCAATCGCCTAACGCGTACTCTTTGTTTGTAATGGTACTCCTTGAGATAACTTTTAAGTGTCTTTGGCAACTGCAGCTTATTTATACCGTCGTACGTTGTCCGTGTGGTTATCACCGCTCGGCAGAGGTGTTGTAATGGAAAGGCAAAGTTTCGATGCAATGGTATCGTCAGCATTGGTTCGAAGAACATGCAACACGATGGGTCCTTATAATGTTCGATCAAGCCGCACACCTAGAAAAAAGAAAACGAACGCACCGACAACAACAAAATGATAGTGCTTCGAGTATCCGTTACCGTATTTTTTCATCTACAAAAGCAAAGATCGACGACCTACCGTTTCCGAGGCATACACTCCAGGATCGTGTGAATCGAAGCTAAACTTATGATTCCACTGTTCAATTCGCGCATGCAGAGAACGTCCATACCTTCGAAAACTCACAGAAAATAAAAACTCCTCTTGCGCAGAGTCCCTTAATAGGAACGTACCGTCCTGTTTGCCTTCTAATAATCGTTCTGCCTCGTATCTATCCATCTTGCCCCAATAAAAGGAACAAGCTGTGATGGATCTGAGGTCCGGTACAAGGCAATGGACATAATCAACCTATAAATATACAATCATAAATCAATACGAGTTTTTGCTTATTCTGTGATTGTTACATAAAACTTGGTTTATCTACCTGCGTATGTGCCGGCCTTTCGATGTGCGGAATTAACGTAAAATCTATTTGAGACAATGCCGTAAGAGCAGCGGCTTGTATGCCAGCGTGGGCTTGAAATAGGGCCGCTAAACTGTCCACTGTTATCCCATTCGGGTGTACTTGTATCCCAGATGGATAATTAGGCTTGTATCCAGGAGGTGGTTCTACACCTTCCTCCATTTCTCGAGCACGTTGCAAACGAGCTCTTTTGTCGCAATCCTACAATAAAGTACATTAGAGAAACAACATCTACAACAAAATTTTTCACCATTGTATCGCTGGATGGAACACATGGGCACACATACTTCCATTGGGTACTCCTCTGGATAGATTCTTGAAAGATCAATTACTGGACTTGGTGGAAGCGGTCCTAATACTGGGCTTTGCGGAGCTGATCGACTGTTAAGTACAACATTAGCTCCGATAGAATTTTCTTCGGTTCGTCTGTAACTGGTACACACGCAATCTGAATTATTATTTCCGTGACCCGGAATAATGTCAGTGCTTTTAGATGCTTTACTTTTGGCGCAATTAAATTTTAATACCCAATTACTCCGTTTTTTCTTAGAAGATAAAACGTGAGTGCACGTTGGGTTTTGATCCTTATTACGCTGTTTACCTGTGCAGATTGAAAAATACATAACAATAAAAATCATAATATTTAACAGTAGAAAGATATATGAAGAAAACGTGCTTCCTTACTTTTTCGTTTACCAAACGACAAAGTTTTAGACGATCTCCTCAGAGGTGGATTTATAGGACTATCTTCTGAATTATTCTGTTGCTTGTAACTCAGTATTTCACTAGTAACATTTCCATTGCTACAAACTTGCTTCGAATCCTGAGAGTCAACCGGCTGATTATACAAAGTTTCAAATTTAGAATTATGATTATCTACTTCTAAATTTAACCGATCATTGTCCAGATTTCCATCCGGTTTGCATTCTCCACGTGGAAACGAATTTGAGTTTAACGCAGGTACATTTCCATTATTTTCATTCTCATGTAAATTTTCTGTGCTATCTTGATTCGTCATTTCTAGTACACGCTGAATAATGCTAGTACATACTTCGGAAGACTGGCGTTCACCACCCATTCTAAAAAATTCTCTGAGACTAGCGAAATGCTGTCCCATTATTAAATGGACCAACAGGCATCTTACTGCCTCAAAAGTATATCATTCTTATTTCTCTTTTATAGAAATAGTATAAATACTTTCATGTTATACAATACGATTACATTATATCACATAAGTTGTCAATCAATATAATGTGTTTGATTATCTAAAACAAAGTGTAATATTTTGAAATTCACTGAAATCCAATGTTATTGTAATTATAATATAAAAAAAACATAATTTTTTTTTCAATATGAACAATATATTCGTACACGCAAATGAAATTCAACGGTAAATGACAGAAGTAACCTTTCATTAATTTATAAATGTCATGCGCTAGAAATCGTAGATGACAGAATTTACGCAACAAAAATTGAACTTCTTATTTTATTGAAAACCAAATTGCATCTGTTTCAGTCGGAAATAAGAGAACAAACATATAATTACCAATGGTAGAAAAACTTCACGGTATAATATCTTCGTAAATGTTACTATCAAATTTTTTTGGCGTTTATAATGAGTATTTCCTGATGGCAGCTACCCAAAACATGTTCAGACAAGTTTTGGTAGGCTTTCCTTGATCGATTAAGACACGTGTATTGATCAATGCTTCAATCTTGATCAGGATATTTATTTCACGATACGATTGAAATCATACTTCGAAATGTAATGCACTGATTTTGAAACTGATGTAATCAAAGAAGTAAAATTGTCAAAACATGACCAAACGCATCGTCGGCCATTTTCCCCAACTGGTTCTTTCCCATGTGTCACCTCACCACACCACAAGTACGTCACAAGATGCAATACATATGTATATAGTCAGTGTTATGCACTTGTACATTATGTACGCACATTGTACATATGTAGTGCGTCAGAGGCGGAAGGCAAAATTCCGGCGTGTTTTGAAAACCAACTTTTAGCGCATACGCATATGTATACATTTGTATCTCACAGTGTACGCGTATGTACCTGATATGTATGTACATTATTTTATATATGTTATCTACTACTACATATGTATATAGAAGGCTGTGATTCTAGTACAATATATACATATATACTCATACAAAATAGTTTGGAAAATTGAAGATTCTCTCAACATATTGGAAGAGATAAATATATTAAAGAAAGTGATGAACACACAAGTCGAGAAATTCATGGAGAAATTTATGAATAGTTTAATATTGTTAATCATAATTAGTTCCACGACTCTGGGCTGCAGTTTGCTTAAGCAGGTGAAGATGGGGATAGAAATCACTTTGCTCTGATTGGCTGACAATCGAATGCTGAGGCATGATTCACTGCAGATTGGATGAACGGTAAAATAGTGGGGATAAGAACACTTGCTTAGAGAGAAAGAAAAATGTACGTGTACTATATCAGTCTGCACATTACTGCCTAAGAGCATGTACTACACACAGATTGTGTTCTTTCTACTCGATGGCTACTGATTCCTGTAGATCAAATTGAAAACTTATCATTATTATTTAAATTTAAAACGAAGTGATTTTTAATACCGTAGTGATTCTTTTTACTCCGATGGTTTTTACTGATTTATACATAAAAACAGCGCGAGGTGTTTTTTCATTCAAGGTACATTCCCAAGCGCGCTTTTTATGATTCTTGGCGGATCTAACAAAGCTCGGCGTCTTCTTTACATAAATCCGCCATCTTCTTTCGATTTACACAACGGAAGGTGGTGATCGCGTTTTGTTAAACGGAAGTTTTTCTGAACTTCGACTGCTTTCACCGAAGAACGTGCGGTCGAGTGGTAGACGTAGAAAAGGTTACTATCTAGTACCTAGTAAACAAATTGACGTTGACGTTAATTTAATCTCTGACGATTGAACGCCAACGAAGTGCGTAAAAAGCTTGTTATTGCCTAACCTTTAAAAAACTGTACGATCTTCATGTTTTGCCTATGATCGTACCTGGCACAGCTTAAAGATGTCAAGATTCCATAAAAATTCATGGGGTGGCCGCAATAGAAGATCGGGAAATTCGGACGACAAACACTATTTTGGTAAGTACTTCTGTAGATGCATCTTAACTTCACTATCATTGTGTTGCAAATACTTGTCCAACCTGTTTAACGTTAATTTGCTCTGTTCAACGTTAATTATTTTTGTTTCTAAATAACAAGAAATTATAATTATTTTGAAAAAAAATATTAAGTCATCACTGAATCAGTGTGTGAAACTAATCTGTGCGATTATAACTTATATTTTATACAGGACACGATGATCGTGTACCAAGAAATAACGGTGCCTTCCACTTCCATCTTGGAAGTAGACCGAGAGTGTCCTTTAAAACTCAGACGAGACCATCTACTAGTGAATTAAGTAGGAACTTAGCGTTAACATGCTTAGACGATGATGTTCAGATGGCAACAAGTTCTAATAACAACAGCAGACAAGTTATTGTAAGCGGAAGAGATTTTAATTCACGACGTGGAAGACTCAGTCCTTTACCTGTGAGAGGATTTAGAGGAGGAGGGAAAATAATTAACAATAGATTCAGGATTAATCTTCCTGGGGATCCCTGTTATCAGATTATTGTAAGTGAAATTGGGTACATTAATGATTAGCTTGTGCGAATATATAATACAATAGTTTTTTCTCTTTTTTTTTAAATTGTAGATACCGTATGGACACAAATATGATAAAGAATATGTAATAAATAATCTTCTTAGCTATATGGCACCAGAAACTTTTGTTCCAATAATGGTAAGTAAGTTTTATTGTATAGTGGAATTATTTAAGTAATATATATATATATATATATATATATATAGTTTTTAACCATGTGCTCACATTTATTAATAGTACAAGGTTCTTGCAAATGAAGCATTATTTTATGTGGACGATGAAAAAGAAGCAATGGCACTAAGTAATTGTCATCAGAAGATCACCACTACAGATGGTTTTAAGCTGCAAGTGAAGGTTTTCCACCTGTTACTTCCATATTGTGAAATTGATACTAAACTGAAAGATAAATTGAAACAAGTCATGTCTAAACGTTATGTAACTGAAACAAATGCACTAGATTTATCCAAGTTCCATAGAGACCCAGGTTAGTATAGTTTTCAATTTAAAGTATTCTTTATCGCATTCAAAGTATCGATCGAACATGATTTTTGTCACAGATCTGGTTGATGATTATTTCTGCTCTCTATCTCGGACTATACTGTTAAAAACTGTGTTAGATATTGCATCGGAACACATACCAAATCTGGAAGCACTGAACTTAGACGCAACCCGCTTGCATACATTGGAGAAATTAAATGTTCTGAATAGAAAGTTTTCAAAATTGAAGATACTGTACGTTGGCGACAATTGGGTCAGTAATTATCGAAGATCTAATTTCTTTCTTTGTGCTTTTACCTAAAGGTATATGAAGTATTTCATACTTAATGCTTTCAGGTAAAAGACATTAGGCAACTAGAGCATATCAAAGAATTAAAACTGGAGGAATTGAAGCTAACTGGAAATCCCCTTTGCAACAAGTATAAAACTCGACAAAGCGAATACATTAGGTAATGTATGGTTTTAATACGATCTCTCTTCTCTTGATAAAAGAATTCTCCAGGTGGATAGTTTCCCGAAGCTGCTAACACACCAGAAATGTTTACTGCGTTCCAATAGAATGTTGAAATATTTTCAACAAAGATCTGGGCAGCTTAATAAAACTGCCTTGTGCATTTGAACTGATTTAGTTTTTAATTGTCGTCTAATGTTCCTAAAATTTAGTAGCAGGAATTAATTAGTAGAGAACAATTGTCCCTGGAATGTTCTAAACGGTCTGTGTATTTTCCACTACATTGTATCCTTCAATACTAAGGCAAATATTTCTGTTATTCCGACTAACTTGGAGCTTCCGGGCTTCTGGCTTTTCTTTCCCGACATTAGCGACGTGCGGAGACGGTTCCCCAAACTTCTACGGCTGGTAAATAAATATCACATTGTACTTACGATTAATGCGATTAACACATTATATTCGTCATAATTTTTATTATTTTAACAGGATGGCATGGAACTCCCAAAGCCAATCTTGTTCGACGTAGCGGACGACGGAAATAAATTGCCAACCCCTCGAAGAATGTTCGTTGCGAACGCAAAAGCGCAAGAAATTGCTAGCCAATTTCTGCAACAATATTTTCTTATATTCGATAGCGAGAACCGTCAACCATTGTTAGACGCGTATGACGAGCATGCATGCTTTAGCATGACCGTGACTTATTTTCAAAGTAGTAATAAGTAAGTAAAAAATGTACGATCTGATCTTTNTAATAACAACAGCAGACAAGTTATTGTAAGCGGAAGAGATTTTAATTCACGACGTGGAAGACTCAGTCCTTTACCTGTGAGAGGATTTAGAGGAGGAGGGAAAATAATTAACAATAGATTCAGGATTAATCTTCCTGGGGATCCCTGTTATCAGATTATTGTAAGTGAAATTGGGTACATTAATGATTAGCTTGTGCGAATATATAATACAATAGTTTTTTCTCTTTTTTTTTAAATTGTAGATACCGTATGGACACAAATATGATAAAGAATATGTAATAAATAATCTTCTTAGCTATATGGCACCAGAAACTTTTGTTCCAATAATGGTAAGTAAGTTTTATTGTATAGTGGAATTATTTAAGTAATATATATATATATATATATATATATATAGTTTTTAACCATGTGCTCACATTTATTAATAGTACAAGGTTCTTGCAAATGAAGCATTATTTTATGTGGACGATGAAAAAGAAGCAATGGCACTAAGTAATTGTCATCAGAAGATCACCACTACAGATGGTTTTAAGCTGCAAGTGAAGGTTTTCCACCTGTTACTTCCATATTGTGAAATTGATACTAAACTGAAAGATAAATTGAAACAAGTCATGTCTAAACGTTATGTAACTGAAACAAATGCACTAGATTTATCCAAGTTCCATAGAGACCCAGGTTAGTATAGTTTTCAATTTAAAGTATTCTTTATCGCATTCAAAGTATCGATCGAACATGATTTTTGTCACAGATCTGGTTGATGATTATTTCTGCTCTCTATCTCGGACTATACTGTTAAAAACTGTGTTAGATATTGCATCGGAACACATACCAAATCTGGAAGCACTGAACTTAGACGCAACCCGCTTGCATACATTGGAGAAATTAAATGTTCTGAATAGAAAGTTTTCAAAATTGAAGATACTGTACGTTGGCGACAATTGGGTCAGTAATTATCGAAGATCTAATTTCTTTCTTTGTGCTTTTACCTAAAGGTATATGAAGTATTTCATACTTAATGCTTTCAGGTAAAAGACATTAGGCAACTAGAGCATATCAAAGAATTAAAACTGGAGGAATTGAAGCTAACTGGAAATCCCCTTTGCAACAAGTATAAAACTCGACAAAGCGAATACATTAGGTAATGTATGGTTTTAATACGATCTCTCTTCTCTTGATAAAAGAATTCTCCAGGTGGATAGTTTCCCGAAGCTGCTAACACACCAGAAATGTTTACTGCGTTCCAATAGAATGTTGAAATATTTTCAACAAAGATCTGGGCAGCTTAATAAAACTGCCTTGTGCATTTGAACTGATTTAGTTTTTAATTGTCGTCTAATGTTCCTAAAATTTAGTAGCAGGAATTAATTAGTAGAGAACAATTGTCCCTGGAATGTTCTAAACGGTCTGTGTATTTTCCACTACATTGTATCCTTCAATACTAAGGCAAATATTTCTGTTATTCCGACTAACTTGGAGCTTCCGGGCTTCTGGCTTTTCTTTCCCGACATTAGCGACGTGCGGAGACGGTTCCCCAAACTTCTACGGCTGGTAAATAAATATCACATTGTACTTACGATTAATGCGATTAACACATTATATTCGTCATAATTTTTATTATTTTAACAGGATGGCATGGAACTCCCAAAGCCAATCTTGTTCGACGTAGCGGACGACGGAAATAAATTGCCAACCCCTCGAAGAATGTTCGTTGCGAACGCAAAAGCGCAAGAAATTGCTAGCCAATTTCTGCAACAATATTTTCTTATATTCGATAGCGAGAACCGTCAACCATTGTTAGACGCGTATGACGAGCATGCATGCTTTAGCATGACCGTGACTTATTTTCAAAGTAGTAATAAGTAAGTAAAAAATGTACGATCTGATCTTTATTAAAAACATTTCGCGTTACTAACAACTTCACTCGTCTAGATTAAGTGGATACCTCCTGGAAAATAGAAACTTGTATAAAGTAAATGATACAAATAAGAGGCACAAATTATTAAAACAAGGAAGATTATCTGTGGTCTCGTTTATATCTGAAATGCCACAAACTCTTCACTATATAAACACATTTACGATGGACATCAGCCTGGTGACAGTAAGAATTTCTCTTTATTATTTATTACTGTGATAACTATATTACTCCGACTTATGATTAACTATGTTACTGTAATTATAGGAAGTGATGATGTTGATCACAGTCACAGGTATTTTTAAAGAGCTAGACAAGAAAGATCAGATTGTTCGCCATTTCAATAGAACATTCATAATAGTACCCGAAGGAACTGGGTATTGTATTCGAAATGAACAATTGCACATCAGTAATCCAACGGCCGCTCAGACGAAAAACTTGAACACCCAGATAACAAGCCAAATTCAGCAAGCAGTAGCATCATCATCATCATCATCATCGAGCAGCACCGCCGTAAAGCCAGTGCCAGCACAATTATCCGAAGATGTGAAACAACAAATGACTGCAACGCTCAGCCAACAGACTAACATGAATTTGGAATGGAGTCTGAAGTGTCTGGAGGAGGTACAATGGAATTATAACAACGCGCTTTCGGCGTTCCACGAGTTCTTCAAGCGAGGACAGATCCCACCTGAAGCATTTAACAAATAAGTATACAGTAAAGATTAGGATATGTAAGGCTCGAAGATGTTTTGGTGCTTCTACATCATGATCTGAATGAGGACACGGAGGTATTGGGTGTTGTTTTGATTTATCTATTGCGTTCTGTAAAATCATGCTTCTCCTTCGATTTTGGTACCCAAAACCTTCGTTGACCCTTAATAATATCTGTTCGCAATAAAGCAAAAAAAGGCTTGTTATGCATTAAGGAAACGAAACAGCAGAAAGTATTTTCTATAATAAGGTTTGCCGGCAAGCTTCTGTTTACTTTAACCGAACGAGATATTTAAATGTTTTGATATTTTTTTAGAACATGTATATTGTTCCCATATTCAAAAGAAATTGTCGTTCATTCAGCTCATGATTCGTACACAAGTGAGAATGGGATTTAGTGGTGATTCGTAGAATTAAAAAATGTTTTGAGGGGTTTATAATATTAGTCCGATTCAACACTATTTCTTTTTCTTTCTTTCTTGCTACTTTAATTTTTGTACATTGAACCTTTTTGGGGTTAAATGAAAGATCATTTGAAGGTACTTACTCAAATCTATTTGAGTCATCTATGAATAATTTCTTTATAACACGCGTACCTTCAAATAATTGCTGATTTTCTAAAGTATGAGAATCGGAACACCTTAATTTCGACGCTTGTGACACAAGTGACTTACAGTTCACATACTGCCTATTTTAGTTACGTTCTACAAACATAATGATGTTTATTTTTCCAAAATAATCGATGCACTTTGCATGATAATGCACTTGTTCCATTTTTAAATTACACATTAAGATCGCGTATCCTAAGTAATTTTACATTAGCTATTAAATATTATTGAATAAGTATGATAGAAAAGGTATGATTATATATCCTCATTCGATGTACAGAAATTCTGATTGTGATATCTTAGATAAAATAAGCATCATTATGTGCACAATGCAAAATAGTTCATATTAAACCTCAACAGGTTGCAACGCAGTGTAAGATACGCTTAAAAGGAAGCGCATATTTTGTTTGAGAATTCGGACGAAGTTGGCCGACTTTGCTCGTTGCAATTATGCGTCGTTCAGTTTTTCTAATATATTAATCTGTATTAAAAGAGATTTTACTATAAAAGGTAAATCCTTTTTTAGTTGTACTGGTTGACATTAAAATTATTTCTTTATACACAAGATAATTAAACGTATCGGCCAGCTTCGGACCAGTTTTAGAAAAAAAAAAATACATACTGATATGCTGCATTGCCTCTCTATTGAAAACTAAATTGTATGTACATATATAGAAATGTAATGTTGTTCATTCACCACCATTTTGTCCGGATATATATTACACTTTCAAAGTATCTGAAGATATTTTACGTACAGTGTGTGAATATAAATTGTTCGTCGGCGTCAGAGAGATACAAAAACGAACTTAACGGAGACGGAATGGACTCTCAAGTCATATCAAGGAAGAAAGCAGTTCTTGCTTAATCACCGAAACTGTTTACAAACTGCTGTTGGAAAACTGCGAGTTCGTCACAGTGTTTCGTTGTGATAAAAAAAAAGCAATAAAACAGGAGGAAAGCAGAACAGTCCTAATGAAACATTTAGGATCCTCAGAAAGATAGAATGAGATATTTACTGGAGGCAAATGATTATTCCCCTTTCTGTTGTAGCCTTTCGCAATGCACTTGATGCGCTACGGCGAATAGGATACAGATCTGCCCTCTATCATAAAACGTATAGATGGATCAACGATTAGCATCGAACAGAATGAATTCTGACTCGAGCTTCGTACATGAGCTGCTCCTGAATCCAGAAATAAATTTCTGCACAGCAATATATGCTGGTCAAACAGAAGCAATGGCTGCCGCTTTGTTATGTTTCTGCTGCAGATACATGTTGGATAATACCGACAGACTTAACGAATACACAGGGATAAAATACACACAGGAACTGTGGAATCACGTGATTTTTGACAAGATATGTCATTAAGAGACACTTGTAATTATTTTAGGCCATTCGAATGTCGAGGAACGCAAATGAGATGAGCGTGGTCGTTCGAGAGAACAGTTTATGCTCACATTCTGTACCAATTCGCATCGACCTTGAACGCGTCAATTGTCGACGTAAATTTGGAAACCTGTCATTATCATGGGAAAAAGATCTTTTTTAACTAATTTATTCACGCATTTCTAACATCGTTTGAGCAGAAATTTCCGGATATGCTACAAAATGGTCGATGGCGAGTATGAATTGTATTTTCGATCGCTTTCAAAGGATCATATAGTTATTCAAGTCACACCATGTACATGTTAAGGTACGTTTTTGCAGTTTTTGCCTAGTTTCGTCAGGTAAAAAAGAATGTTTGAGCGCGATGCAAATTGTAAATACATGAGACGTGATTGACGAGAATAAATATTTGTGTACAAGAATTTGAGTTTTTCATAGAAAACATTGAATATGCATATAATGTAAATAAACAATAGAATTTTATTAAATATGTGTCTTTTATTAGACGAACATTAAAACAGTTTAACACGACCTTAACATCTTCTTTAATATATTCTTTAAATGTCATTGATAGTCGGATTTAATTGTAGCGGCAGTTCTTTTGTTTCTTCTGATTTCTAAAGATAATACAATATATAGGTAAAATATACTTTTAAGTATTAAAGATATTGTGCTGTATTTACTTCACTGTTTGATAAGGTTCGACGAGGTTGCTTTTCTCTTAAAGAAACCTAACTGTAATTGTAGAAAATAGTATTAGAAATATTATAATATATTGTGATAATATTTGGAAAATAAAAAAAATGTTATACCGTGCTTAAAATCGCAACAAAAACAATTAATAGTAATAATCCCACTGACACAGAAGCTATAACAATCCACAATTGCAATCCTGTTTGTTTCGAACTATTGTAGAACATTGTTGTAAGTACCATTGTAGATCTATAAAAAATTTTATTACTTGGTTTGTATATTTGACATTTCGGGAAACATACTTACTTTGTTCCATTAATAGAAACCCTCGCAGCTGGTTTTAGTATGTGTACAGTGGCTTCGGTGTCGAATTTTAAAGCAACTCTGTCGATAGCGAGAGTATCTAAACGTGTAAAAAAGAAGACATATTGAATATCTAAGTTCTCAAAAGTATATATGCAATAAAAGTTTACTACCTTTAAGTTTTTCAACATTTAAAAGTAGTTTGATTAACACCTTTCCAATGTCTTGTAATGTCTCCAATGTATTTAAATTGCATACAATAGTTGAGCAATACACATCACTAGTTGAACAATTCATATATAAAATGTCGCTTAAACTGCTATCGTTCGTATATTGCAGTGTTTTATTAATTTTTATATCATGCAGTTCGAAGCTCGATTCGTTTGTATTTCTTTTAATGATTAAGTTATTAGTTTGTTGCATTTCGCTAGCTACACTATGCATATTAAATTTATACAATGACAATTCTCTTCTCACATTTATGAATTCATTGTCTAGTAAATTATCTTGTGATGTACATTCATACAATTTTCCTAACACATAGAGCTGAAAATATATTCGATAATCATTTTTATTTATTAGAAAACAATTTGCTGTATTGTACCTGGGGTTTATATATGTGTATTAAAGGATCTGAATAATTAATAGCTGTTGGTATTTTAATAACGAGTTGAGCGCTTTCTATAGGTGTTGCACCAAGCTTGTATACTTGGTACGTATGCTGAAAACTGAGATTTGAAGCAACATTCTCGATAGTGGACAAGTAATATACTTCTTCATTGGCCTTCCTAAACAATAAACGTTTGATACTAAATACTATTCAGTATTCAATGATAAGGAAAATGTAGAAATTACAAACCCGTTCAAGGACAAAGAAACTTCGTTTATCAAGTTAAGAATTTTCGTTATAATTTCCACTCCTTCGTTTTTACTACGGGTTGTACATGTTATGTTAAAATTTAGCTTGTGATCAGACATCGAATCGTGAATTAAATTTTTCATGTCAAGATCTAAAGTAATATTCTTTTCTTCTCCTTTCCATAGAGGATTACCAACATCGCAGGTTATTAATAAATTAGTTTTAGATGTGTCTTCTTGACAAGAAGGTAAGATGCTACGTAATACTACCCCTTTTGGAATAGTGAATTGAAGCATGGTAAGATAAGCTGGTTCTCCATAATTCTTTAAATTTACTTCTAATTTTACATCAGTCGAACCGATCACCCACGTAGTATTGTCGCTAAAAAACGGTTTTTATAGACTAATAAAGCAGGGAACATGTCAATCAATTATTGAATGCTTACCGAACACCATAAAACTTTGCTGCAGCGGATATATTAGAAGTACAAACTTTATCTGCTCCGCAGTCGATATTAAAAGGAAGAAAAGTTTGAGCGACATGTAATTTATTATTTCTCCTTTCCACAGGGCAGAATTTGCAGAAGCGACCGGATGTATTATTTGCGAAATCATGCGATGCAAAAATATAAATTGGCTCAATAAAATCTCTTATATTTTTCTGTAAAAAAATTATAAATGAAATTAGAATCAAACTTATGTAAAACAAAGGGACATAAATAAATTATTACCGAGAGATTGACTTGCGCTTTGAAGCACGTAACTGATAAATTGAAGGATTCGAATTTCAAAAATGTTTCTTTGGTTCGCAGATACTGTTTATCTATAGCAATCGAGATCGTGGATTTTACACCTAAAAATTAATTGCATATATGAAATTATAATTAAATAATATTGTTATTATACTTGCCTTGTAAGCTTTCTACGTTATGTCCACTGTACCGTGGACAGATTTCGATTAAAAAATATTTAGTATCTCTTTCTAAAACATTGGGTACTACATGAATTACGAGTTCCGTTTTAACGACTGGTTTACTACGAAACACAACAGCATGGTTTGATTTATATGCTCCTATTGGAATATCTAGATAACTAAGGAAATACAAAACAATAATTTTTATGCTGTAATGGTATACTATTGTTAAGAAATGGGCGACACTAACCCGTTACTATCAATATCAATCGGTTTTGACATTGAAAATCCAAATCTCTCGTATTTGCGACGATGCTCCGTTAGATCTATGGCTGCAATTCGCTGTGACGCTTGTAGCTTTGTTTCCATTAGATCTGAACCACCGCTGTATATATAAATTACTCCAGATTCTTCCCAGGGTGCTCCCACAATGATATCTGTAAAGCAATAAAAAAACTACTGTAAACACTGCATCATGTTTAGTTGCGAAAGCTTACCATCGAATCCATCAGCATCTAAGTCACCGCTTGTTATCGCATATCCAAAATGGCCCCCTTCTACTTTTCCATGAAGAGATATTACCTCTTTAAACTGGCCCTTTACGAGAGTGAAAAAAGAAAGTCTATAGTGAAAATTAAATAACTTACATTACACTTAGTGAACTCACCTTGGAATTACCAAAGTAACAATACACTTTACCATTATCTTCTCCCCAATAAGGTGCTCCAACAATAAGGTCATCTAAATCATCATTGTTTATATCACCCACAGCTAAAGCTGCTCCAAAATACTCGCCAGTACTGCTACCTCGTAACTTAGCCACAATGGACGAATTTGCTGTTCCATCAATAATCACTACCTGATAAAATGATTCGTATCAAAAAAGCATTATTCTCTGTCATATAAGGTGCATGTTTATCATCTCACCTGTCCTTTATAGTACCAGCCAGGAGCACCGCTGACATAAAGTAGCTGATCCTTCTTAAAGAAGTAGCCAGACTCAACGCTATACCCTGAAGCATATTGTTATGTAATGTTATATTCAAGAAAAGAAATATGTAGTGTATCTAGTTTAACTCGACATGCTCAAATATCATTCATATTAAATACGACGACGAGGACTTTGAAGACAATAAGAGGCTCACCTAATCGAGATAGGTCATCAGCTTCATCAGATGACAATTCAATTGACAGTCTCTTATTCTTTTGCACTATTTCTATACCGCCACAAATATCGTTTGCAGGCTTTCCTACAATATAGTGTGTCTCTTTCTGTTTCTTACCCACCTCTTGCTAAAAATAATTCATTATTATTTATACATTCTTCGTGCATTTCCTTCTCTGTAAATTACGTTTTATATGTTTACCATTGCTGAAGCGTAGTGAATGGAGAATCCGTACATTGGGTTGTACCAAATTTTTGATTGGAAATCTAATTAGTAAAAATACAAACGTTATTTGCTGCATTATACTCACATTGTTAGTTCTGATATCAATAGTTTCGGATACTCAACTATGAAATTCAAGATCATTGTAACCAATAGAGAGTACAGATGAGGTAACGTTTCCACTGTAACACATTCCGTGCATGGTATCCGAATAGATATCACTAAGGGATTTAAAAATACTTACAACAGTTCGTGGTGCGCATACCTAAAATAAATGTATCAATTTTGCCATTGAAAGTACACTATAACGTATAAGATTATCTTACCGTTAATATTCCATTTGACCTGTCTATAGACATGGCACTTCCAAACCAGCCTCCTTGCTGTTCAATAAACATCTTCATATCGAGCTGACGTATATATCCCTTTTTATTCTCAACGTTTTGTGGTCTTATAATCTGGCACGATTCCGTAATTTTTAATTCACAGCGATAAGTAAGACCATGTTCATATGATGTCTTAAATTTCTGATTGCTGGACTGAGAATAACTTCCTTTTGGTGCTCCGACTAACAACCTTCCATAGTTGCATTATTACGTAGGATTAAATATATAGTTTAGATAAGTATTTTATGAAAATGATGAAACAGTGGTGTTACCAGGATTTATCGTTGATCGAGTCGTGGTATAAATAGACTGTGTAACCGAAGTAAATACTTTTAAGTTCATTTTTTACGTAATAAACAATATGAAAATCTGTATCTATGTTGTATCCCCACACTAGTGTAATAAATAAAAGAAGAATCTGCTTCATCTTGCAATTTTTAATTACAGTGTGAAATGCTAACACTCCTCTATGAACAGAATCACAATACTGCAATTTTTCTTGAATGAACAGGAAGATAGTAGATAACTATGAATGTAGTGACTAAGTAGTGACTAATGAATGATTTATCTTGTCAGTTTCATCCTGTTGTTACGAATATACAACAGACCATAAGATTGAAATTTTATTTTTTCGATTAATACATAAGTAAAAGACCTATCTAGAAATACAGAGATATTCCTGGATTGTCACGATAGCGTTCTTCGAGATTTTTTAAATAACGGGGCAGTTTCTCCCGTGGGTCTTGTGGTGGCAACTCAGGACACTGAAATTAATCAAAATAGAATTTGCTTGAGATAAAAAGATAACAAAAATTAGTACCTCAGCTTGATTTCGCAATTTCAAGGCTTCCGGTGTTTGGCGAGCTAGCACTCTTTGCCTGCTGCTGTGACTAGGATGAGTCCTTAAAGCCGGTATAATATATTTATTTGCTTCTGTAAGGTCTTGATACTTGTCCATAAGCTCCCAGAAAAGTAAAACTTCCCTTACGTCAATGCAACTCTAAAAACGTACAAACCAATAAAATAAATTATACATAAAAATGTAGGATATAATAAAAAAGCATACTCTTGCAGACAATCGATATCCCACTTTGTCAGCTTCAGTTTCTGATCGCCTTTTACGTGGGAGCGTGAAAAGAATATTATGGAACAAACGAGTTCCCATATAAACTATCAATGCTAACCATTTTGACAAAGTTGCGCAAATAAGAAATGTAGGTATAGTATATATAATTTTGTCTAGCACGTTGTAGGAATATAATTCTGGCTAAAAAAAAGTTGTATAATAAATTTTTCAGATGTTTAAAAAAATTTTAATTAGTATTGTTGCTTCTAATAAAACTAAATTACCACGTGTAAGAGGAAAACGTGTGACATTTCATGTGCCAAAATAAATGTTAATTGATCATCGTTTTGAATTATGTCGAAAATACCAGAAAACACAAGAACATTTCCACCCTGAAACGTTAAAAATAGTATATTACATTTATGTAAAATAAAATTTGAACTTCTTCATAGAAATAAAGCAGTAGTACATGCCGAGAAAACCATAGCATTAGGCGCTGGATCATTCACTATATTGATAGTCCATTCTGTGTGTTCAAAGATTTCTTTATTGGATCTTCCTATATTCGTTATTATTTTTCTAAGCCTCGAATACATAGGATCACTTGATGGTATGAAATTATTCTTGTAAAACTCTAATAACTGTATAAATGTTTTGTTACACAAAATTTATTAGCTTCACTAAATATTGATGGTATTGTACTCGATTACGTACTGCTTTAAAAATAGTCTGTCCAAGTGCAGTTCGTTCAGCTTTATCAAAGATTATAAAACGTCGTCGTTTCTCTATTGGATCTTCTTCTAAATGTGTTAAATAGAAAGTAAGTAAAGATAAAGAGAAAACACCCAAAGAACCTGAAACCATAAATATAAAAAATAATTTTCACATTATTTAAATTAATAACGAATTGTAAATTATATACCAAAAAATATATTGCTTCTTTCCCAGAACCAGCTTCTATATTGTTCTTGTTTCTCTGGAGTTAAATTTAACCACCAACGTCTAGCATATAACCCACTAAACACAGCACCAAACTTCAACACGTTACATACCGTTATTAAGCCTAAAGCTGGCAAATGTAGTGTTTGCGTATTATGAAAATTTGCTCTTTGAAGCTTTGCATGTTGCCATCTTTTTTTTGATTCCTTTGATTGAAAGAACAATACATCATGATGATGAACAATACATCCGGATGAAAGTTTTCTTGTGTTGCACATTATGGTTCTAAAAATTACATGCTGGATGCATTTAAGATGTATCGTTCTCACAGAGTATAACATACTTATATATTTCTCTTATATAAGCAATTGTCTTTACATCAAGTAATTATCGCAATAATCTGAAGAAAACACAATCATTTTAACTCTATAATTAAAAATAACTGTTAAAATGTAACTGTTTTTTTAGTAACTATATATTCAATTTACAACTCCCTCAACTTACTTAAATAGGATTTACAAAGTTCTTGGACTCAAAAAGGCTGACAATATCAACAACCAAAATCCCAATTTTGTGTACCGAAACATTATGGTGCCTACTAGACCGTATTTCAGCGCACTGTGGAACATTCGTTTAGTGAAGAATATTGTTATAAGATGTAACCAGATGGGTCGTGTTCGTATCCTCTGAACTCTCACAAATATTACAGTTGTATGTTGGAACTGTTTATTGTTTAAGTTAGACTTTAAAGCTGTGACTATTCGTTCCATGTAAAGACCAGGAATACTAAAGCCATACAATAGACTATTAAAAATAGTTAGTAAGTATTAAATAATTTCGTATATATATCGTAAATGCACAAGATTACATTTACACACATCTCTCTCACAATAATTTCACAGAATTCTGTGCAAATTTCTCACTATTTAGTATCAAAGGATGTGTAACTGTTGGAAAGAATAGAACTGTAGTCAGTTAATGTCTATTGGGGTTATACAATAAAAATTTTGTAATGCATTTGTACCTTTACTTACCTCACATTACGGATTCCTAAAAAATATAAGCACGTTATATTCAAGGTATGGAAACGTAAAAAAATGTGCGGTATCGTTTGCTGAAAGAAAAAAATAAATCGTGAGTATGGTTGAACGTCGAATGTTTTTCGTAAAGGTATTAGAATCTGTGTTGATGTATCAGCTGACATATGTCAAAGAGACAGCCGCATCGCTTTTTCGCTATGTACATTATACGGTTCTCCGACAGTCAGTATTTTTAGGCGCTTCTTTCAGAATAACTGCGCACCTATTATTCATTTGAAATCGCGTAACAATAACACCGGAATATGAAAAGATGTATTTCCATGTGCACATAAGTTTATAAAAATATCAATTTATTTTGAGAAATGTGGACGTACACGCTTTTTGGATAGACAACTAAATAGGTTCTAAATCAAATTATGAACAAACGATGTTAAGAAGCTATGATCGATAAATGATTTCCATTGATCGGTGCTTAGACTTGCTATTATTATTAATTCTACATAATAGGGTCTATCTTTATGTTTCTCATGTACATTCTAAAAATGTAAATCTTATTTGAACACGTACCGTTCCAATGCAAAAGTTAAATAGAGCATGTAATATTGTTGCGAGAACATCGTAAGGTACATCCGTTCTTTTTTAAATAATCCAATCGAATTTATCGAGATTCACAGGAAATGTATCGAAGTTTAAATCGGAATGGTTCGATCGGGCATTGGATGTAACAATGGACAGATTTCTAGGAACTGCACCAATACGGTAAGCACAGAGCTGGCCGCGAATATGTAATGATTCGAAACGACATGACACATCGATTCTTCATTCGCGATAAGGATGCTACCGTTTCATGAAAAAATTAACGTTCATAACAAATCTATGTATAAATCATAAAACAAAACAAGTTGCGGTATCTTTTATTTATCATACTCTAATTAATCTAAGCTTACTTTCGCGCGTAAAATCGATCTGCATACCCCGAAACTACATGTGCAGACCATATTATATTGATCTTTCTGTTTTTACCTGGCTCAAGCGGTTAGAAAACTGTAGAATCACAAAAAATCGGAAATTAGAAAAATTCTAGTTTAAACCTTAGAAAGTAAAGTACAAAAGATCCTGTTTTTTTTTTAAATGTAAAGTCGTTTTCAAAATTCAAAACTAGAAGCGTGCGACAGATCTGCATCCTCTTTAAACAACGTTGACAACATTGTACAAGATTTCTTGAATCCTAATGATCGAAGTTGCTTCGAAAATCGCGAGTTGTTGTCACATTGTTGCTGTATTAAAAAAATATGTATAATTATGAAGTTGATTAACAATATGGCCGATTTGAAACGTAACTTTATTATGTATAACAAAAATGAAATATAATAAATATATAAATATATAAAATATATTTATATACAAAGCGAAAGAATTTCTCTAAGATAAGAATAGTAAATTATAATAAATATGCAATTTACAGAGCGCTACGGATCTGTGGCGGCATACGCATTTAGTATGGCATCCGAAGTTGCAGTGACCGATGGATAAAGGTTTGGGTCAGAGTGTCCATATATACATATATACATATATATACATATATATATATGAAAATGTATGGTACGTCTCATAAATAAAAACAGTTCTTCCGTTTCGGATTTGTATAACGTAAATCCGAGGCGTTAGTTCTGGATCAGACCTTGAACGCAGAAAACATCCCTTTTAGATTGAATTTCTAATTTAAATATCGCATACAATTGAATTCATGATCTTGACAACGCATTTCAAGGTCATTGAAATCGGAGGTGGCTCCCATAAACCGCATATTTACCGTCAGTGGAAATAATTTTCACGTTGAACTTATTACTTTTCATTGTATTCTAAATAATAAATGTGATCAGGCCTGCTTAGGGATCCCCTTATTGTGAGCATCCTGTAAAACAGGGGTTCGTTCGGTTCATGCGTTCAAGGATGCGTGTATTTGTGCGCGTTTTCATGCACGGTCATCGGTTTGCGCGTGCGTGTTCGCGCGTGTGTGCACGAGGTCCGGCTACGGTGTGTTTTGTCAGTGTGTGTGCGAGAGGTTTGCGTCCGGTTGCGTGTATGTATGTCCATCATGAGTCAGAGCAGCCATGGTTGGTCCGTGTTTCGTAATTAATTCTCTTGGTTGACGAGAAAAATGCGAGCCTAGTCCCCGGGAGCAGGACACCTGCACGTTCCCGGGCCGCGCTTGTCCGCAGAGGACATGCTCGTTGTGCCCGGTAAATCGCACATCTTTCATCATTCTTCACATCCCGCTCACGGCTCTGCTCCGCTCTCGTATCCGCCGTGTGCGCGGTGTTCCCGAAGTGTTTTTCGCGTGTGTTTCGCTCCTCTTGTTTCTCACGATAGACATCACTGTAACCCGGTTCTGTCCTCCCGCGGGACTCCCGTCAGTTTCTCCTCCGTTCGAACAGGTACTTTCGCTCGGTAATACGTTTACCTAACGAATCCGCCGCCTATACACCTATTCAGCCCTTTCTCGCGATCGACCGATCCCGCCTTCCTCTTCTGTCTTCCCTTCTCATGCGTTGTACATACCACGAATTTTTATAGAACACCAAGGGGAACGAAAGCTACGGACCGCGGCGGCGGTTTTCAGCCTCCGAGGACGACGGCCACGAATGCCCTCTGTCGATTTTCCGATATCGGTCTCTTCTCCGTGACGATTGTACCTTCACGGGAAAGAATGGACTGTGAATACGTCAACGGTCTCGCTGATCGGGCTCGCCTTTTATTTGCCGTTCTGTCCCGCGAATGAAACGGCTCGAACCAGGTACATACATATATATGTACCAAGATTTTCTTCTACTCTGAAAGCTTCTTCAACCCTCGTGCGACGAGAACGTGCTCGTTTTGGCCCGATTGTGATTTGTCATGTTTGTTTATGCTCTAGATACCTTGAATTATTGGGCCAGACAATCGCGGGAGAATCATGGATCAAAACAGAAACAGACCCAGCAGACCCCGTCTCAGGTCTCATGGCAATTCTGCCAGAGTCCTCGTGTTCGATCAGACCGAAAGCGAAGAATCGGCTTGTAGCACCGAGGCGGATGTGCAAAAGCGTCCGATGCCACCCAAAGTGGAAAGCAAAGAGGCTCCAGTTAGACCTGGTTCGTGGACAAATCTCGGTGACTAAATGTTTACTCTGTTTTATGATTATTAACCGTTTGATGTTTTCAGTGAGCGGAGAACTGTCGAATTTGGTCAGAATGAGGAACTCTGCTATTGGGAAATCTGCGCCCTCTTTATCTGTTCACGTGGTTAGCCATCTAACATTATTAATCGATGCATAAAAGCTTATCACAAGTGGAGCATATATAGATTTTTATGCAATCTTTTCTTTACAGCGTGATTTTAACATTCCTAGGCGGGCTGCCAAAGCGGCTCATCGTAAATCTTTCATTGCAACAACATCTCCTACCTTACCTAGATGTCATTCACCGCTGTCAGGTATGTAAATATTGTTAACGCGGATGCTTTTTTGTTCTTTGAAGTTTCAAATCGAATTTCACTCACTGAACATTATACATTTTCTTAGCGAACAATTGGTGCTCTAAAAGTATGTCTAGTAAGAGTGACTAAAGAGGTATAAATACATGCTATTCGATTATGAACGACTATGAGTACCATGCGTTTAGTAATCACATTATATAAGTGTTCTGGCACAACTTTATTTAAGATTTTAATGGAGATATATATATATATATATATATATATACAAATATATATTTTCATACATATTTATATTCATGTAACGCAGCTGTTACAGTTTGCAAGTATTACACGCGACGAGTTTATTTACAAGTGTGTTAGATCTAGAATGTCTAAACAACTGTCTCCTAAAACAGTGTCCCGAAGAAAATTCATTTTCATCCACTTAGAAATGTGTGTTTTATATTGTTTACATCTTTCGATAACGATAGAGGATTAATTTCTTTTACTGCTTGTTTCCCAATATAGCATTCGTCCCGATTGTAGGCAGTCCCCTAGAGAGTCCTAGGATGTCATCCAGTCCACATTTTGCTTTTGCTCCGATTAAAAGGTATCTACTTTGTACCTACTTTTAGTCCGTTTATATCTGGTCTGGTTGCCTATGTAAGCAGGTGTCGCCATTGCGAGCATTATATTTTTAATACATTATTAATAGTGAAGAAAAACGCGAAATGTCAATGCAGAAACTAAGCTGTGTAATCTATCAGAAAAAAAAACAACGAATGTGGCTGTAAGATCCATTTTCGCGTTACAGTGAAGTTATTGTCGTCCATGTATTAGTTTTACCGACTAGAATTATTTGTTTGCTCGTTTTATGATCATTATGATTAAAGTGTGTGTAATGATTAAGGATTGGAGGAGGTGCCACGGGAACCGGTGATGGCAGACGGTGGTCGGTTGCGAGTTTGCCCTCGAGCGGATATGGAACGACACCCGGCTCCAGTAATGTTTCGGTTAGTCATTCATTGAGAGATTAGTATGCTCGAAAGCGCTGACGATTATCCACAAAATCATTGTGTATTTAATTAGTCACGGTACTCGAGTCAAGAACGGCTGCATCAGCTTCCAAATGTTCCGACCAAGGACGAGTTACGTATGCTTTCTTGCCATTTCTCCAAACCCGGAACACCTTGTTCATCACATCCGGGCTTCCCGGGTTCTAGCATCTCCAGCATACCAGGAAGCGTGTCTCTCAGCCTTGACGAGGAAGGTCGTAGATCGCCGCTGCACAGACCACGTTCGCGAAGTTTAAGGTAAGCATTCAACGAAATACACGATCATTAGAAATGGAGTAAATATTGCTGAAGAAACGAATGTTTTTACTAAATCTAGTAGTCCCAGTCGGTCACCGGTATTGGACAGTGAAATCGTGATGATGAACACCCTGTACAAAGAACGATTTCCAAAGGTACAATTTAAATGAAGGATATGATAAACATTGCGATGTAAAATCGCCATTTTTAACGATAAACTTAAATCTGTTAGGCAACTCAACAAATGGAAGAACGTTTAACTAACTTCATCAATGAGAACAAGGATCTGGACGAGTATGAAGTGATGGCGAACATGACGCAAGACTCTTTGCCCATTCTGCGATTTGTTCATCATCAAGTGATCGAGATGGCGAGAGATTGTTTGCAGAAATCTCAAGAGAAGTTAATCACAACGAGATATTTTTATGAAATGAGCGAAAATTTGGAGCATCTGTTGATGGAAACGAAGGAGAAGTCACTCGAAGCTGCGACCAGATTAACGGGGCTTATTAAGAAATTGTTGCTAGTAATATCGCGTCCAGCCCGTCTGCTGGAGTGTTTGGAGTTCGATCCAGAAGAATTTTATCATTTATTGGAACAGGCCGAGGGTCAAGCGAAAATCAATGCGGGAATCAAAACAGATATACCTCAGTACATTATTACCAAGCTTTCTCTGAATAGAGATCCGATATCTGAACTTCAAGAAGATTTGAATAAATTAGAGGACTCGGCGAGCTCGAGCGACAGCAACCTGCAGATTACTTCGAGTCCGAATAAGGACGACGAGAAGTCTCAGCGGGTGCCGTGCGAGAGCGATTACGAAGTATCAAAATTAATTAGTAACGGCGCGTATGGTGCTGTTTATTTGGTCAAGGAGAAAACCACGCGGCAAAGGTTCGCCATGAAGAAGATAAACAAGAACAATTTGATGCTGCGTAATCAAGTGGAACAGGTTTTCGCTGAGAGGGACATAATGAGCTTTACAGACAATCCTTTTGTAGTATCAATGTACTGCAGCTTCGAAACTAAGGTGTGTAACTTGATTAGAAATACATAAATGTTTCAATGAATAAGCTGATCAATCAATTACAGAAACATTTATGCTTGGTGATGGAGTACGTGGAGGGGGGAGATTGCGCGAATCTTCTAAAAAACATTGGTCCACTGCCTCCGGATATGGCAAGGTTTTATTTCGCGGAGACGGTGTTGGCTGTCGAGTACTTGCACAGCTACGGTATCGTCCATCGGGACTTGAAGCCGGACAAGTATGTAGATGAACGTTTATCAGTTCTTCAAATGTTTTACGTCTCCTTTCGCTTTCAGTTTACTCATTACCGCACTCGGTCACATCAAACTTACAGACTTCGGTTTAAGTAAGATGGGTCTCATGTCCTGTAAGTGATTCACAAAAGTTTGTAACCATTTGTTTGAAGCGTTGCTCACAAATTCCATTCCATTTTTTAGTGGCGACGAATCTTTACGAGGGATACATAGACAGGGATACGAGACAATTTTCAGATAAACAAGTATTTGGTACACCCGAGTATATCGCTCCGGAAGTAATCCTGCGACAAGGCTACGGCAAACCGGTTGACTGGTGGTCCATGGGCATTATCCTATACGAATTTCTGATCGGCTGTGTTCCATTCTTCGGTGACACTCCTGAGGAATTATTTGCTCACACGGTTAATGGTGAATTTTTTGAATTTTTAATATAATGTTGAAGGAAACTCAGAGCCTAAATACAGCTTATTATTGAAATTCGTTTTTAAATAGATGATATCGAGTGGCCCGATGACGAGGATTGGCCTGTTCAAGTAGAAGCGAAAGATATTATAACGGCGCTATTGCAACAGAGTCCTAGAGAAAGATTAGGAACCGGTGGGTCGCACGAGGTCAAAGAACACCCATATTTCTATGGAGTAAATTGGAACAGTTTACTCAGACAGAAGGCTGAATTCGTGCCACAGTTGATCAACGATGAGGATACAAGTTACTTTGACAGTAAGTTCGGTCTAGAAGCTACTACAGATTTGTTTCCTAAAAGCAGCGGTATAATAAGAACAATGACGTTGCAGCTCGTATGGATAGATACAATCACGACATCGGCGACGATACCGATGACACCGATGACTCTCCTCTCTTCGGATCATTTTCTTCGTATTCTCCGCAATCGCGGAAGATCTCTCAAACCCGTCCACCGCAACTGAATCCGGAGTCAGAATCGGATGCCTCGAAGAAACAGTTGTTCCGTACTGAGCTGGAACGCACGGTTGCTCAATTGTCACTAGGATCCAGTGCTATGGTCACGCCACCATCCAAATTAACCGACTCCGGTCCGTTCGAGAAGAGCCGACCGTCATCGTCCATTAAGGGTAACGCATGTCTGGAGACTCCACCGAAGGCGGACAAATCGAACGCGTCGTTCTCCAGCCCCGTTCCAACGTCTAGCGGCGATTCTCAGTTAACTGTTATAAAGAACACGCAAATAGAAGGAACGTCGATCAACCTGAGCACGCCCGACTCGTCCCAAACGGAGTCGGAGGACATCAGTCCGCAGATCCAGAGAAAGCGACACGTGCACTCCCGCGACAAGCTGCCCAGGTTCAGTATATCCGTTGATGATGACCACATGTGAGTCGCTCGAACATTGAACATCGCGAGCGTTATTATTTTTTTTCTTTCTTCTAATATGCGCATTGTTCATTCATCTTTGAGACGATGTAAATGGGAATGATATCGATAAAAGCGATGTGTAAAAGTCGACTATATATGGTTGCAGGCTGGACTTAGTTGCTGCGAGCAGGGACACAATGGAGGATAGTAAGCATAATTCTAGCACCGACTCCTTCGAGTCGTTCAACGCAATGTCAATCATACCGTCGGTGAAACAGAAGTCACGGTCTGTGATCAAATCCGCCTCCACTAGTGGACTGTCGTTAGTGATACCCACCAGCGACTTCTCTTGTATGAACTCTTTCAAACGGATTCTCATCTATCACTGGTCCAAAATATGAAATCGAACTTACGATGTTTCATTTTTTTCAGACGACGCCTCTTTAAATACTCAACAAATCGAATCTCCCGGTGGATCGTCCACTGCTTCCTCGCGAGACACGTCCCCTTGCCGCGAATTAAGTCCTCTTGTTACGAGCTTGAAGCCTCCTATCATCATTCGAAGGGGACCATGCGGATTCGGCTTCACTGTGCACACTATCAGGGTCTACTATGGCGACAGCGATTTTTACACTATGCATCATCTGGTTATGGTATGTCAATTTAGTTGATTTGGCATGAACACCAGCATCTTCGTGAATTAGACACTTTTTATGTGTATTGTTTTACATGTTCCAGGTGGTCGATCAATCTAGTCCAGCGTTCGAAGCTGGCTTAAGACCGGGCGACCTCATAACTCACATAAACGGTGAACCGGTACAGGGTCTATATCATATACAAGTTCTCCAGTTAATGTTAAGCGGCGGTGATCACGTGACATTGCGCAGCACACCGCTGGAGAACACCAGCATTAAAACCGGAGGACGGAAAAGGGACCTAGCCCAAAGCAAAATGGCGCGTCGAACGTTGTACAAGCAACGGAAACAGAAGCGCGATCATTCCGATAAGAAACGAAAAACGTCCCTCTTTAAGCGAATTAGTTCGAAACGAGCTAGCGTAGAGATGCAACAGGTACAGAAGATGTTGGCGTAAAATTTTTGTATACCGTAGATGTAACAAAAAAGGCCTCCATGTGAACGTACACGTGTTCTCGTGGCTAGTACGATCAATGTATTAATATATATTACATGTACGTTCTGTTTCTTTTTTTCTTTCACACAAATACTAGACGCGGCATAACACGCTGAAGCACCGGCGGCTACTTACAAGCGACTTATACACCGATTATGTTAAGCGTTACTTTTGTTTTTTATTGCAGCCATTAACTATCAGTTGTCCATTGTCAGCACCCATTCTATCCAGCGACAGCAAACCTCCACTTATGGTATGATTTTACGTAAACGTTTCCTGATCGTCATCTTGTTGATAATCAGATTCAGTTTCGCCAATTTTTGTTCAAGCCAAAATTCGGTTGCTCGAATATACATACGCTCACGCGACAGCTTTTCAATGTTCTTTTCTCCAACGTCTTGACTAACCGCGTTCAGAGTTTTTACACAACACTGATCACCGAAGACCTTCAGTTTCATAACACATATACCTATATTATTAACTATGAACAAATTAGACAGTCGTGCCGGAAATTGTATTTGCCTATCGTTCGACAGATGGCCGCAGGAATCTGTTCGCCGTCCATGGTGACACCAAGCCGATCCTTCCAGTCGTTCACGCGCTCTCAGGAGACCTCGCCATACTTTACAGCCTGCACGAAGTCTGTTTGTAGTCCGTCGCCGCCGACTAACCGCGTCAGCTCTGATTCCTACCATTCGACCGGCAACTCGAGTTCTTGTTCAAGTCCAAACTCCTCGTCACCGGGATCGAACACGTCCGCCGCAAATCTGGCGACCATCTCGAACCAGTCGCACTATCAGAGGCCCAGCACTCTCCACGGTTTGAAGCACAAGTTACACACGGCGGCGAAAAATATTCACTCGCCGAACCGAAGGAAATCCGTCGGCCATATACCGTTGTCTCCGTTGGCCAGGACTCCTAGTCCGTCACCGCTTCCAGCTAGTCCGACCAGAAGTCCCAGCCCGTTAGCGTTCCCCACGGGACATCAGCCTGGTAGTTCCAACACTACGCAGTCCTATAGTCCAGGTGCGATGAAGTATACATTAAAATTCTTACGAGTGACTGAAGGATTGTATAATTTCTCGGCGATTCATATTAATATTAATTAATTTATATTATTCATGTTAATATTTATTATTATTTTCGTTTAGTTCTCCCAGGATCTTCATGCTCGGACTATTAACAGAGAAACCTCGATTTTAGGTGTCTGTTTGTCAACGCCGAACAATCAGAAGAAGAGCTACGGACGTCCAAAATCCGCGGAGCCTGGGTCTCCGCTGTTGAGAAGAGCTCTAAGTCCAGACCGGCTGCACCCGCGCTCCGCAGAGAACAAAACCTCGATATCACCGCTGGCTAATTCAGTGGTAAAGGTAACGCCCCGTGTAACCATCGCTCAAACCTCGCATTCCGAGGCCTCGGAGGAGAATGGTGACAGCTTCAAGGACACGAGCGACTCGAAGACTGAGAAGAAAGTATCCAACGATCAGAAGTCCGACTACACGAAGCTGTCCCACGCGATATCGATCAACCTGGGGAACGTAAGCATGACGAACTCCTGCGGCAGCACGCAGCTGCCCAGAATAGCGGAAGAGAAGGATTCGCCGACCGGTTCGAAGGGCGACGATTATTCTGCGAAGGACGCTCTGCTGTCGGACAAGACCGAGAAAGCCTGTGCAAAGTCGACCGAGATCGAACGAGTTCACAACGACCGTCGTGACCAAGACTCCAAGGTGTGCCCATCTTCGAAGACCACGGAGCAATCCACCAATAAGATCGAAGAGAGCACCAACAAGTTCGTCGGTAATTCTCCCACTCCGCAGGTGCGTTCAACCGCGTCCCACAAGCAGTGTCAAAGCAACGAGAAGGGTTCGCAGACGTGTCCGAAGACGTCCTCGCAGAACAGCGAGAAAGGCCCGCAGGCTGCGGTTTCGAAAGCAGCGTCGCACAGCAGCAGCAGCGAGAAAAACTCCCAAACCACAGCACAGAAGGCACCGTCGCACTTCAGCGACAAGTGTTCCCAAGCCTCTGGCCAGAAGTCATCGAGCGGCGACAAAAGTTCGCACTCGTCCCAGAAGTCGCAGAGCAACGAAAAGAACTCGCAAGCCGCAGCTCAGAAGTCCCACGGCGAGAAGAGCTCGTACGGGACGCAAAGAGGTCAGAGCAGTGAGAAAGGAGGAGGCGGTCACAAGTCCAGCGAGCAGAAGACGGGTGGTAAAAGTTCAGAGGCTAATCCGGAGGGTAGGAAGACCCTGAAGAAGCACAAGAACGACGCGTCCGAGGACGCGTCCGGTGCTTTCGACGCCGCTGGATCTGGAAAAGATAAAAAGAATGTTTAAGTAAAACGTTGTCGAGTTAAAGAAACGAGTTGTCCACGCGTTAATCAGACTCTTCTGCCAACGAACGACGATGAACGCCTGTTACACAGTTACGTTTCTTTCTCCTTTTTCTTTCTTTCTTTCTTTTTTTTTAATGTTCGTTCTATCTCGACGAAATCTCACGAAACGAAAACAGTTAAGCGTCTATATAATCTAATAGAGTACTTGAGTAAGAGAGCGAGGAGAAGGTTAAATCAAAAGCAAATGGAGCAGTTCTGTATTCGCAGCTTTAAAAACAAAACGAAAACCAGGAGTTTGTATACTACTCGAGTCTCAAAATCTTCGTAGGCTTCCATCGAATCGATACAGCTTGGAGAACAGCTTTCACGATTAAGCACTAATGTGTGTGTGTACGTGCATCTCGAGGCGCGTCCAAAAGCCATCCTGTAATTATAATCTTTACTGTCGTACGATTTCATTGGATACAAGGAAAACCAAAATGTGAAAGTAGAGAAACTCCGACGTATTATAATATTTAAACGGTTTTAACTGTGCAATTTGTTGATGTCGCTCTTCTAATTCTTCGCGAGTGGGGGAGTGTGTATTATTCTGCGTGTGCATGTGTGTGTGTGTGTGTGCGTGTGCGCGCGCGTGCGTGCGTGTGTGCGTGGGTGAGAAAGAGAAACAAGAAGATGTAATTGGAGTAATTTATATACTTCAGGCTACAGTATTTACACGATCTCATTTACGTTTACGTCTAATATTAGCACATCACTGTATGGATCAGCATCGCGAATCGTGTATAGATAAGTCTTTTTCAACGCGAGTAATATTTGTGAAGAAAAACAAAACAAAAAAGAACAGAGAAGACAGCAACTATCGTATACACTCGTGACTCGGATTCAAACTCTTTTTCATATTGATAAGAGCGAAGGCTGGAAATCTGGAAGAGTTAGAACAAATGAGATCGACACGGATTCAAATTCTTTTCCCCGGGTGGACATTTTCTTCGTTGATAAAACTGATAATGTGATAGCTAAAATTCGAATTATTCGGTTCGTTCGACACCCGAAAAAGCTCGGAACACGAGAATTTGTTCGAGAGCTGGCCTTCGCTCGGAAGCCACGAAAATCGGCCTACACGCGCGAGTGAACACGATAACCGACTTCGTTTGCGACGACTAGCGTACAAGATGCTCCCGTATGCACAATGATATTAATCCCTGTCTCTTTGTAGCGACTCCAGCACGCTGTGATGCATTTAATTACGACGTTTAGACAAATTGGTGCTACGATTCATCGCTTGGATATCCTGCGCGAGAAACTGGTGCTCCCGTTCTACCCTGTAAAATCATACGAGAGTGAGAGAAACAGAAAGAAAGAGATAGAGAGGGGGAGGGAGAGGGATAGTAGAAAGAGAAAATTCACGAATTAAACGACAACGTAGAACGATAGGTAGTGACACAGCAGGAACGAACATATCGCATTGGAAGCATCTTGAGGATTTCCGGGTCCGTGTGAGAGTTGCGAGCGTCCTCGAGGGCCCGTTGGCCTCTGACACGTAACTTTTTTTTAGTATTAGGTACTCGTTAATTTATTCTGTATATATATATATACACACACACACAAAACAAAGAAACAAACAAAAGAGACACACGCGCGCGACGAAGAAAAAGGAGGGCAAAAAAATGATGAAAAACAAGTGTACATTAGTTAAGGGCAAAAAGTATGCTTTAATCGTGAGAACGGCCGCGGCACCTAAAATTGGCCGCTGCCACGGCTTCCGGTAGGGTTCACACAGTTCTCCGCGCTTCTCGCGAGTGCTCGCTTACGAAGGAACGTCCTTTGCCATAAAGGGACGCGGCACGGCGCGAACGTGAACGTGTCTCTGCCATAGATTCGCGCGGTCTTGTCCCAACAATGTGTTTTGTACGAAGTACGAACGGGAACAAGGGCGCCCAAGAGGGCCGCCGCGCGGGCCGGAAAAGGTCACCGGTGTGAGACAGATGATGCTTCGCGTTTCAAGCGAATCGAATCCGGCGCACCGCTTTCAGAAACGAAGAAGAAAAGAGCAAGGAAACGGAGGAACATTTCTTACGCCCTGGACCGACCGTGATCGCGGGAACGAGCACGCGGATTTTGTACGTGCTGCGCCACCGCGGCTCGCTCGAAAGTGTTGAAAAATTGGACGTTCGAGAATGATGGTGGATACGAGCTTCGGTTTCGCGATTTATGGGGGTCGAGCTGCGAGCGATTTTTGCGGAAATTAACCGGAAAGGATGTTCAACGTAGAACTCGATGAAATATTTGTATTATTTTTTAACGGCTGCGATATTTACCGCCACCTCTGGCAGGAAATGTTCGATCGTCGGGAATTTCTGTACAACAAATTTCTTGCATGTATATGAAAAATGATGAAAGATTGTATTTTATGTATATTCGACTGAATAGAACAAAACAGTTGAACATTGTAAAAGTTAAGTAACGTGGAAAAAGGTGCCGGTCAGCGTTTAGAGATGGTTGACACGTTGAATGCCACGGGGGTCACCGGTGACCGGTGTGCCCAAATTGATAGAAATATATATTAGGGGGACCGGAAAGTAATGTCGTTTCTGCGCATATTTATATGTTTGAACATAATGTAAATAAACGACATAACTTTCCGGTCCCCCTAATATAATTTCAAACAAATGTCAATATCTAAAATTTTGTATTATTACCATCGTCGATTCGAACAGTGACCCTTGTCGCGATTAACATGTAAAACATGGTTATACAATGTAACTTATCTATCGCAGATAATATTTCAACGTTATATGTATCGCATAAAAGAAAATTCATCGTGGCAACCACAATGACAATTTCTGTAAAACCGGCGTGGCACTCGACGTGTTAAACTATTCTCCAGTTTAGTGCACTTTATTTTTCTGTCAACGTTATCGTTGATTATTATACAAACAGATTATTCTGCCAGGGGTGCGGTTTCTCTTGAAAATTGTTATTTGTACAAGAAAAAGAAAACTTTAATGTAAGATCGCGCGTCTTCGGTACCGTGAATTCGCCCGCCACGACCGAGAATATTGGTCCATTGTTATTCAAATTTTTACGCATGCGTCACGGTTAACGCCGGAAACATCGGCGGAAGTTTTGTTTTCGACTTTGTAAAAAGAATATTGTATTATATATTATTTATTATAGGCTCTTATAGGTTAGAAATAGCTGTAAGTAAGCTTTGTGAATGTTTTAGTTTTCGGAGGGAACGCGGGAGTTTGTTCTTCGAGTTAACGTTACGCGCGGCAGAGTTGTAAATGCGAAGCTGACGAGTATTCGATCGAGTTCTACATAATTTTGCGAACGATCGTAATCGAGCCGGCACGAAGTAGTAATATTAAAAGTTGTCCGTGGCTCGATCCAGGAATAATAATTTCATTGTTTCATTAGCGCACGCTATTTCGGTAGCATATTTTCCTTTGATCAACGTTTAATGTTTCGCGGCGCGATCGTCCGTATCATTCCGTAGCAAATATTACTCTGGCGAAAGTGAAATGAAATTTTAGATACATAATTCGAGCATTCGAGAGGTTGCAAACGTCAGCGTGACAACAAAACGGTGCAGCGATTCCACAGCAAATACGTGTATGTAGCTGCGAAACGAGTTCCCGGGGCCGGAGATTAGAATCCAAACGCGTGTTCTACGAGCGTACAGAGTTCGCACGACCGTAAAATTTCACGAAATCGATTATTGTTAACCGGCATTCGAACGCTTTCCCGATCCACCGCGAGTTTTAACAGCGCGAGGGTAGAAGCTATAAGGGATGCTCGGTGAAAAACTGAGGCTTCCGAGGAGTAGAGAACAACTTGAAATTTCATCGTGTCTTTCGCGATTCTCCGCGTTCTACAGGCTGTCCCAAAAATGTCTCGCAATGCGGAAATAGTGGATTCCTTAAGTTATTTGAAGTAACTTTTTCCTTGGCGAAAATGCAAACCGCGGTTTCGTTTACGAGTTATTAACGAAGAACGCCGACCAATAAGAAGCGAGCTCCGGTGACGCGCGAGGCGGTCGAGAAATTAGAGATTTCTGAGGTGATTCGAAGCAACTTTTTCCTTTACAAAAATTTTCTACGAGGCGTTGTTAACGCGTTATCAACGAAAAACAGTGACCAATGAGAGGCGAGCTCGGCTGGCGCGAAGCGGCGAAACCAACGAGCGGTCAACGCCCAGATCAGCTGATTGGCTGTGCCGCCTCGCGCCAGCTGATCTCGTCCTCTCATTGGTCACCGTTTTTCGTTGATAACTCGTAAACGAAGCCGCGGATTGCATTTCCGCCAAGGAGAAAGTTGCTTCGAATGATCTCAGGAACCATCTCCATTTCCGGATTACGAGACATTTTTGAGACACCCTGTAATAATCTCTTGTTCTCCAAGAGAGTTCCAGAGGATCGGGAGGTTTCAAGGCCGCGTTTCATCGCGAAACGATTCACCGTTGCAATTCGTAGCTAGGTCCGAAATAGTTGTACGCGGACACCTGGTCTTTCTCGGCGTACGATTTCATTTTTTTTTACTCGTTACAGTCGACTTTTCGATCATGAAGATGCGAAAGTTATACATATAGATACGCATGTAATTCTTAATCGATGAACTGATTTCTGAATGATATTCTGGATCCGTCTCGATCAAATTGTTTAGGAACGTTAATTAATCTGTCAGCTTTAAACGACTATTAATTATTTAAACTAATAATTATTTAAACGACTATTATACGTTGTAATAATGCGAATTTAAATGCTACATTTTGCGAGCAGAAAAGTAACGAGTTGTAAGTACGCGATGATCGTTTGTTTCCGGTCCACTTTTCTGGCATTTCTGCGAGAAATCGACAATTCTTGAAGGTCCTTGTGTCTCTATCGATCGAAATGTTGCTCATTGTTCAACGATAAAAAGACCAGTGGGATCATCTATTCTGAGCTGTGGGATCGCTTGTCGCTCAACGACTATCGTCGTCGACGAAACCGTTAACTCCGTTCAAGTATGGTTGACGCAAAGTATACCGGGAACTCGTAGCAAAGAGAGAGAAAAAAACGATAGCGATCTCCCGTTCGGAGACAATAGAGATTACGATCAAGATCTGCAAAGGTTTCCTGGTCGACCTTACTGTCAGCGAATATCGCGAATTTCTGTAAACAATCAAGACCATCAACAAACAACAAAAATTTCACGAATTTTCTGTGTCGTGTTCATCGATTATAATATTGTATATGTACGATGGACGATCGATGCGAGTCGTCGATGACCTAACCCTCGCGAGAGGATCAGCGTGCACTGTGTACAGGGTGCTCGCGAAGTCGCGGTTCAATTCAGAGAACTGCGACGATAAGCGGAAAATTGGCCGAGGAATGTAATCTTGCGCGTTCGAGGCCTCGGGAGAAGATCTTGGAAAATTTGAGAAAAATGGCGATGTCCAACAACCACTTCTGCCCGATCGCATCCGGACACCACGAGTCGACGTCCATCATCGTCTTAGCCCCCCGGACCATCGTGCATCGCCACGCGTAGCGTGCGCGACACGCAAAGCAGCACAGACGAGGATCGATGATTTGTTGAACATTGTTTCGTTACGTTTACGTGGGTTGTGATTTTATATAATATAAGGGGAGTAAATGTATTCGTTGGTGACTTAATTATTATCGGACTGCGGCGGACCCGCGCGATCACGACGGTTATGCTGAAATATGGCCGAGCGACGTTTCATCCTCTTCTTTATCAGATAAGACCTTTTGTAACGCGACTCAGGCTCGCTCCGACGTGCACGCCAATGGCCATACTTTGGGAAGTCGCGCGAGGCTCCAGGCTCGTCCGCAGTTCATTTATTATCGTTGAGACGTGTGCGTGGTGTATTTGTTTCTACAGAGCCGAGGAACGTGGAAACGTGAGAAAGTTTTCCGAATTATTGCATTCGCCGGCGCCGAGCGACGTTCAGTTTCCGACTCGTACAGCGAAAATGACCAGGGTACAGTTTCGACAAAAACAAAAAAAAATCAAGTAATCGTAGAAGACCGTGAAAGAAATCTTTGATTCGCCTGGGACGCGCCTGTTTCTTCCCTCGGGTAATCTGAATCGTAATTTCGCTGCGAGACCAAGGGAGACCGGACCGATTTCAGTAGTAGATAGATCGTAGGAAGCGGCGCTCCTTTACTTTTTCCTTCTTTTTTTTTTCTTTTTGTCTTTCGTTCCTCTTCGTTTCCTTTTTGAGGAGAAGAAAAAGGACACCTCCGATCGGTCTTTGTTCTTCGTTTGTTTTTTGTGATAAGCGATAACTGGATGTTCTCCGTGAGAATGTTTATCAGCGAACTCGACGAACGTTTGATAATTATTATTACATGCTCTCCACGTGAAATACAGTTTCGTTTCTTTATTATACGGCACGACTCGTCTTGTTATTTGATTACAGTAGTATTCGTTAGATTACAGTAGAATGCATACGGTAGAATTCCAATTATCCAGCGGAGACAGAGACAAATACTTTAATTTGCATTAAAGAAATAAGGATAACGAAAATATTTTTAACAATTCTGTATATTATGATTCCTCGGCTTTAGTGAACGCGCTTTGAAAGTTCAAAAATTTATTCTCAATAATTATTAATACAAATTATTAGAAAATTATTTAAATTAAACACAAATGATTCTTGCCACTTTTGACATATGCTGCAATACAAATTCCGGTAAGAATCATTGTTGTCAAATTTAATAGCGCCATTTCGGGTAGCGGCAAAACGCTCAAACTGGTAGTCAAATTATCGACAGTCGATTTTGGCCAACAGTTCGAGCGTTTTGCTACTACCTCGATTGGCGTTGCACAGACCCCGAACGGACATTAATTTTTTTCAACAAGAGGCGTCACAATCGCCCGCGTACATATCCATATTACAGGGCCGCTTAAAACATTAATTATTCCAAAATCAGGCAGAAAATAAATAAAGAGCACAGAACCGTCCAGAAGAATCTGTTGCTTCCATATTGTGTAAGAAAAGCAAACGACGGTAACACAAATTATAATTAATTAACATAATAGCTAATCAAACTTAAAAAAGCAATTATTTATACTTCGTAATGTTGTAATTTATTTTTTTTTAAATATAATATAAATATAATAATAATAATAAATATTAAATATAATATTAAATATAATAATAATTATAATAGTATATAATAATTATCAATTAAATATAATAACGATGCAGTAGATCCCCCTAAACAATTCTGCACCTTCGTTTATTTTTGTATGCCCTAATATCATAAGATTTGGCTTTGCGGACCGAGAGTATTTTTTTAACTCCTATGACGACACGACCGTTCCGAAATTTTGAATTTGGAGATGGCAATTCTGAGAAGAAATTAAAAAATTAAATTCAATGTAAAAAATTAAATTCGCGCGCCATGTTCTCCACGAACGTGCTACGACTACAGAGAAACTTACTATCGTATATTTAGCCGGTTGGAGAAACGGGTTATCCTTATTTCAAACGATAAATAAACTGTTTTTCTGTGACAGAGATGCAGACGAGACTTCTAAATGTTTCTACAACCTGAAACTACATTTTCAATCGCTAAATTGACAGATTTCAGGATACATTTTTCATACAGGACAGGAGTCGATTACTTCGATTGTTTACCGCTACGTGGTGATAGTGTCTCTGTGTCCATCAGGAGGCTACTTTTGAAAAAATCCAGAAATTCCCTTGATTATGACGATTTGTTACATGAACTCGACGCGTAAAATTAGTAGGAACATTTTGAGATCGAACACATTCATTTTATTACGAATATCATATTATTTCTATTATTCTTTTCAATGCTAACTTGGCAAAAATCATGTACGACTGTAAGAAATATTCAATTTTCTCTATATTGTTTATAATAAATCGTGTGTTTCGGCATCGAATGGATGGAGAAAATTCCCCTGGACAATCTTGTATCGTCAAAATACGTATTGTTTACGGGATATTTTACGATGTCATCCATCCCTATTTGTATCCCTGTTTCTATTAACAGTGGTGGGGGGTAGCGGATGGAGCAGTGGGGGCCGGAGCTCGCGAGGAATCAGTTGTCCAGACCTGCGCTAAGGTTTCCTTTTTCGAGCAAGTGGCAGCCATTGAATCATATTGAAATTTCCCGTTGTTGCTGCGCAACGTCATATTCGGTTTTCAAGGTACATACAATGCAAAAGAGAAGAACCGCATATAATCGACGACTTAACCGTTCGAGTCCCATGCAGCGCGATCGCGCTGTTTAGATTTCATGTCGGAAAGACCCACTAACACTACATTTGACCGCAATGGACAATTGACAGTGTATTTGGATTCTACCAAACTCGGCGCATTCAACTTACTGATTCTTGTTTGTCGCATCATTATTTTTGTTCATGTATACCATATAAGTACTCTTGTTTGTAGTTCACATTATTTTCAATCATATTTATTGAATAATTATTTCTTCTCGCTATAAACTGGGACAAGCGCTATCGCTCTCCTTGACTCTTCGACAAGATTTTCCAAAAAATCTGGATCTCGGCACGGTTACAATGTGCTTCGTCAATGCACCATGATCTGTCAAATTGGATAACCTACTGCATAGTTGATTAACAATTTGACGTGTTTCTAGCGATTAAAATTGGCTAAAAGAATCTAGTATTATTTTGCACTTATTCCAATGTAATTCGTGTCGTTTAATCGCCTATTATGTTGTCCGGTACGTTCTGTTGGTTATGTTAGCAAACAATGAATTGACATAATAAAACATTCAACAATTCGTTAATAGCATTCGTTGATATTGTTGCTACAAGCGACGTTATCGCTGTAATATTTATTCCTCGACTATAATCTACATACTTCGTCATTCCACAAAAATTATTAGTTTTCGAGAGATTGCGTAGAGGTTATGTCACGCGTTGAGGTACACGTAGCCTGATATTCCTTTTCATTTTAGATTTAACGATTCTGTGGAAACTGAAAAATGTCTGTCAAGGGTCTGGCTGCAGCAATTATTGAGTTTTTGACTCAACAATTGGAGGACGGAAACATCACCGAAGAATCTAGGGAGAGCCTCGAAGTAGCCATACAATGCCTAGAAAGCGCTTATAATGTCCAGGGGTTTGTTGTTCCAACAAATTTTAATTTACTCGAGGTATATAAAAAGACAGTTGAATCCACGAAAGCTCAGCCAGCTAAGGAGGCTATGCCCGAAGAAAAAGCTGAAGCAGAGAGATTGAAAAATGAAGGAAATGCTTACATGAAGGCCGAGAAACACCAAGAAGCTATCGCCAGCTATACAAAGTATGGATTCTAAATATAATACATACAATTTTAAGTAACTTAGTTAAAGATCCAGTAATTGGTATAACAAAATGGAAGAGTTAATGAAATGTATAACATTAAAATATTTTTTGTTTAGAGCTATTGAATTGAATGGTGCAAATGCTGTGTATTACTGCAATCGAGCAGCAGCGTACAGTAAAATTGGCAATCATGAACAAGCGATTAGCGATTGCCAAGCTGCGCTGACCATTGATCGCACTTACAGCAAAGCATATGGACGACTAGGATTAGCATACTCTAGCCTAAATAAACTTGTAGATGCTGGAATTAGTTATAAGAGAGCTCTAGAAATGGAGCCCGATAACGAAAGTTATAAATATAATTTGCACGTGACTGAAGAAAGAATTCGAGAGCAAAGTCGAGGTTTTAACAGTTTCGAGGATATGATTGACATTGCGCTATCTAATCCAGACTTCCTCAGAGCGTAAATATCAAATCCTGACTTTTCTATGTATAATAGTTCACGGAATATCAGTTATATTTCAATAGTTTTCAGAGGTCAACGAGTAGCACAACTAATACAAGATTCCGATCCCGAACTTTTGGAGATATTGATGCGACAAATGGGAAATAATCCGAGTAATCCTGAACCATCACAACAGAATTAAGATAACTGCGAGGCTAACTGTTTAAGGCGATATTCATATGAATATATACTATAAAAATTTTTCTTTAACTTATCTATTACATAAATCCGAACGACTTGTCTTTTAGATATGTACCGAGGTGGTATTATATGCAAAACATTCGGCGATAACGGTAAAAAAGGAATGAATATTTTCTGGATAGGATGGCTCTCTAAGGGCATATGAATTGCTATTACTGTTTATGCTGTACAACGTGTCGTTAAATATGTATTTTAATTACTGCTCATTTGTATCACGTTACGATATAGATATTGTTATCACTGTTTCCTTTAACAATCATTTTTAGTATGATGAAAAATCGCATAGTCAAAAGAATTAAAAAGTAAAAATACATTAATATCAATCTTCATCATGCTATCGCTACATGTACATCGTTTCGTTATTTGGAACCGATAAAAGAAATGTATGCCAATCAAGAAGACACATTGAAAAATTTACGAGATAATATTCTTCCGTAATATTTGTACATTTATAAAAACGTACTAAATATACGACGAATCGAATCATTCTTTCCAAAACATTTACAGTTCATGTGACATTTTTATAATTGTCTAAATCTAAAAATATAATTTTATCTATACATTATGGAATACAGCACTGTTTTCCTTAAAGTTGAAAAAAAAGTGAATATAAAGAATTATCATCTTTGTTCGTTCTTTATACCAAAACATTCGTTTTAAACCCAACGTGAGTTTTCCAAATAAATTTAAAAAATGCAGCTACACACAACGGCGATCGGTAATCCATTTAAGGGCCAATAAGATCGAACGGCTCGAAGTAACATGGAAATTCAAATTTCACGCCACTTGTATCCTTTTAAACTGGTAGCACGCGTACGCTAATTCTGCATGCGTCATCCAGTGACATCATTCTTATTTGGCACTGAACAAAGCCCGCGTGTAAATACACAAGCCATTTTTATATTTCGTGGTCTAATTTGTTTTCGGTGTACGTGTACATAAATACGTATTTACGGGTGATCGCGAACACTGTATGTATATCGTTCTATTTTGTAAATGAGTTTCGCCGTCGGTTAACCATTCTTAGCCGGTAAGTCTCTCTCCATCATATCGTAGTTCGCTGTCCCTAAATTTTCCTGAACATATTAGGCTTTTCTTGTTACAAGTGTACTTGCAAATCACGAACAAATTCGTCGAATTTGCATCATAAAGGGCCTTATTATGCTTTCCTTTCGGCTAACTAAATTTAATTTTTCAACTATGTTTGCATTGTTTGTATCTATATTCAGAAGTATTGGTTAGCTATACCGATCATCGGTCGCGCGAATGTATGTAGTATTATAAATAACGCGTTAACTACAGTTACGATGCATCGTGTTTCGATCTTCTCTCTTTCTCTCGTCTCTCTCTCTCTCTCTCTCTCTCTCTCTCTCTTAGCTTTCCTCCCTGTCCTCCTCTCGAAGCAACAGATAATTTCTTTTATCTAAAATGCGATAATTATGACGCATCGTGAAAAAAATTTGAATTTTTTTCTTAAACCATAGAACTAAAACAATTCGAAGCTCGTCCTTGTTTGTTTCACGTCGTTTCAGTGTCGTGATTTTCACGTATCCTGGAACGCGATGCAGCATTATTATTTACATATTTTCCAACCCTTTCCATCTTCCACCCACAAATACATGTACACCCGAGAAGCATGATGCGTGCGCAAAGTCCCTCCACAGGTTCATGACGTGCGCGGGTGGCGCATGATTCGCTGGTTTCGGAGTACCAACCAGGAACGTATCATTCGACGGTGTCAACATTAACTATTTTTTTGTCTTCAAAGAAAAACAGTCGCGTCGCAGGAATCGTATTTATATCGATGACTGGAAAAGGAACACGTTTCGATCATACTTTCGCAGATATTAATGATCGATTTTGTCGATATATTGTTAATACCAACTAAATATTCTTGTCTTTCTTCTGAAATACTGCATATGAATACGTACATATGTATTCAAAATATGTGCGTATGTATATAATACGATAGTTGCAGCAACTCGAATTCGAATTGAGAGACGCGACTATGCGGACAAATAAATTATTTTTATATCAATGCGAATAGAACAAATTTTAAATTACCATCAAAAATCTTTTTAACAATAAATTTACATTTATTATGGTCAAATGATTAGAGGAAATCTGTGTTGTCAGTTTTTTATTATTAAATTTCTTTGTTCGGAAAGATTCTATATATCCCAAAAATGAAATTGAATATAGAATTCTTTGTCAGCAATTTTATATGCGGACAATGCAAGTACGGCGCAAAGATCTATCGTAATTTGCGCAATTGATCATCGAGTATTAATAGTCGTGAAATACGACTGATAACGAACCGTGAACCTCGGCCGAGGCAATTCTCGGGAATTCGAGGCGTCTTGTAGGCGTGCGTGATGGTCCACGGATCCGTAGACACGGTCCTGAGCGTAGTGCCCCCCTCGCTGCTCGATTGCCGCACACTCAACAGATTGAGGTGTGGCCATCGAGGGCAGCCATTTTCTTGACTTTCTGTCGCTTAACATTTCAGGTAATACGCAATTATTTCTTAAGTAATACTGATTGGAGCGGTGCGAGAGTGTGCTGTGCTGTGTGCCCGGGTGTTCGATAGGTGCCCCGTGATCGGTTCGTTAACGCCGCGACCGGGAATATTGTGTGTGTCTGTCACAAGGAGGGAAAAAAAGGCCTCTCCTCCTCCCGTGATATAGAGAGAGGGCCGAGGGAGTGCCATGCGTTACGAATCCACGGCATCTTCGTACGACCACCGTTTCAGTTAGCATAGAAGCCTACGCGCTGTTCGCTCGGGGCTGAATTCGATCAGTGATTTTGGAGTAGCCCGGTATCAGCTTCGAATACTCGAGCTGGTTTTTAGATCAGTAAGTAAATCGTCCACCAGGCACTAGACCCTTGCGTCGCTGTCCTGTCGCACCCCTAGCGCCCCCAGCNAGGGAGTGCCATGCGTTACGAATCCACGGCATCTTCGTACGACCACCGTTTCAGTTAGCATAGAAGCCTACGCGCTGTTCGCTCGGGGCTGAATTCGATCAGTGATTTTGGAGTAGCCCGGTATCAGCTTCGAATACTCGAGCTGGTTTTTAGATCAGTAAGTAAATCGTCCACCAGGCACTAGACCCTTGCGTCGCTGTCCTGTCGCACCCCTAGCGCCCCCAGCNATTTCCACCCCATCGTCGACCGACGTCTCGTATCTCCGATAAACAAAAGGTCGGTACGTTCTTTTGACACGATATAAGCCCGCGTTGCTCTTCGCCTTTCGGAGAGTGAGTGCTCCACTTATTGCTCTCTGTTGTTCGCACTTACGTTTCCTCACCTTCGGAATGATTTCATCGGAATTTCCGTTTCGTTCCGTAATGGAGATGCTAAACAAACGCACGTCGATTTCCTTCGAACAAACGACCTTTTTATCCGTTGTAGGAGACCCCGTACAACCCGATTAAAAATTGACGACGAAGAGCGTACACAGTGTTAGATACTTTTTCAGCAATTTTACGACCGCTTTGTACGGGTGCAGCAGCAATTTTTAGATCGCGTTGTACGAAATCCTACTGTATTTCGAATGTACTTTGGAACGGTATATGCTACTATAAATAATTGCTACATCTGGCAGATGGCAATTCAAACGTTCCAATCGAAGGTTTCAATTCTTAGAGAGGTCCACACGAATGCTGCACCTCTCCATGCAGCTTGCACTGTTTGCAGTGGTCAATTCCACGATAGTCCAAAAATTGACTAGATTGTGTTACCATGATGATAACAACACATAACCCTTTTTCTCACTTAACTGACACATACAAGTCTTTTATTCGTTTGCATCGCTTCTGCAAAATAGACCATACTTTACGCTAAGATCTTTGCTTTTGAGAAGAATTTTACTAAGCGCTTTTAACTTGGCTCGCACAAAATACTCTTCCTAAATGGTTTGTGGGAAAGAAACTTTTACGCTTATATCGTTGGATGTTTCTCAGCTAGAAGTAATCCTTTTTATTTTTTTATGTATACTATCAACTATAATCTGTAAAAATATGAACATCAAAAATACCTGATACTATTTTGAACATATTTCAAACTAAATATGTTTTATGAAGGGAACATTTGACAGATTAAAGCTTCGTACTTGAAACATATTAATGTTAGTAATATGTTAAGATATCTTACACAACTTTCTTAATATAAGTACATATATATATTTACATTTATGTATAGACACATTTATATATATATATATATATATGATTATTTATTGATTGCTACTAAATAATTGAAAGATTTCATAAAGCATCTTATTGTTACACCATGCGAATGTTCTGCCTATTACACTTATTTATGCTTCCCAAATATTATTTTTAATGAGTTCATATAACTTTGGATAGTGCATGTTTTATACAAGATAAGATATATTCATGCATGTTCTTTGAAATCACATTTAGTTTTTGTTCTAAGGCATAAGGTATAGTCTTACCTGGTGCGTTTCACAATATAAATCAAATTAATTTATGTACAACTCTCTGCATTCATAATACTATGAGCCTTCGCATTAGGGATCAAAGGCGTAAATTACATAATTTGGGCAAGAAAGAATAATTGAGTAGCCACTCGAATACTTGGATACTAAGAGCTCCAATTGTTAGTAACAAGTTGTTTAAGTAATTGTTGTGTAGGCCCTACCTTGTGCATTCCATTTTACATACAATTNCCCGCCCTCTTACCCCGTTACGCGGCAATGCACTTCCGGCTGTGCAAAATTCGGCAAAAAGCTCTCCGGGCCTCTCCTGTGGAAACTTGAGCAAAGAAGTGTGTCGCGGGTTCTGACTTGACATTCCTGTCTCTGTATCGGCGTCATTGATTTCCACCCCATCGTCGACCGACGTCTCGTATCTCCGATAAACAAAAGGTCGGTACGTTCTTTTGACACGATATAAGCCCGCGTTGCTCTTCGCCTTTCGGAGAGTGAGTGCTCCACTTATTGCTCTCTGTTGTTCGCACTTACGTTTCCTCACCTTCGGAATGATTTCATCGGAATTTCCGTTTCGTTCCGTAATGGAGATGCTAAACAAACGCACGTCGATTTCCTTCGAACAAACGACCTTTTTATCCGTTGTAGGAGACCCCGTACAACCCGATTAAAAATTGACGACGAAGAGCGTACACAGTGTTAGATACTTTTTCAGCAATTTTACGACCGCTTTGTACGGGTGCAGCAGCAATTTTTAGATCGCGTTGTACGAAATCCTACTGTATTTCGAATGTACTTTGGAACGGTATATGCTACTATAAATAATTGCTACATCTGGCAGATGGCAATTCAAACGTTCCAATCGAAGGTTTCAATTCTTAGAGAGGTCCACACGAATGCTGCACCTCTCCATGCAGCTTGCACTGTTTGCAGTGGTCAATTCCACGATAGTCCAAAAATTGACTAGATTGTGTTACCATGATGATAACAACACATAACCCTTTTTCTCACTTAACTGACACATACAAGTCTTTTATTCGTTTGCATCGCTTCTGCAAAATAGACCATACTTTACGCTAAGATCTTTGCTTTTGAGAAGAATTTTACTAAGCGCTTTTAACTTGGCTCGCACAAAATACTCTTCCTAAATGGTTTGTGGGAAAGAAACTTTTACGCTTATATCGTTGGATGTTTCTCAGCTAGAAGTAATCCTTTTTATTTTTTTATGTATACTATCAACTATAATCTGTAAAAATATGAACATCAAAAATACCTGATACTATTTTGAACATATTTCAAACTAAATATGTTTTATGAAGGGAACATTTGACAGATTAAAGCTTCGTACTTGAAACATATTAATGTTAGTAATATGTTAAGATATCTTACACAACTTTCTTAATATAAGTACATATATATATTTACATTTATGTATAGACACATTTATATATATATATATATATATGATTATTTATTGATTGCTACTAAATAATTGAAAGATTTCATAAAGCATCTTATTGTTACACCATGCGAATGTTCTGCCTATTACACTTATTTATGCTTCCCAAATATTATTTTTAATGAGTTCATATAACTTTGGATAGTGCATGTTTTATACAAGATAAGATATATTCATGCATGTTCTTTGAAATCACATTTAGTTTTTGTTCTAAGGCATAAGGTATAGTCTTACCTGGTGCGTTTCACAATATAAATCAAATTAATTTATGTACAACTCTCTGCATTCATAATACTATGAGCCTTCGCATTAGGGATCAAAGGCGTAAATTACATAATTTGGGCAAGAAAGAATAATTGAGTAGCCACTCGAATACTTGGATACTAAGAGCTCCAATTGTTAGTAACAAGTTGTTTAAGTAATTGTTGTGTAGGCCCTACCTTGTGCATTCCATTTTACATACAATTTAATTTAAATGTGTACACAGTGATATTGACTATGATAACGTTACATTTACATTATGTATAGGCAATGACAAGCTCAATGCCTTGTAGTATACACATTTTCAATGTATCCGAAGGAAAGAGTTAAGAATTGATAGATTACATATGCGTCGTGCATTAAATCATCATAGATTTTATTTAATACTTTTACAGATATTTACAAGTATATAGCTATAATAAAAAAGAAAGAGATCTATATGCATACATATTGACAATTATGATGTTTGTGTAGTACGTGCAATTATCTCGCAGCCTCCTATCCATTCTAACATATAAAATGTCCACTTAAAACAGAGACGCTGAAAGAAAGACTAAAAACATGGGATGCAATGCGGGCCGATGCCTCGGTCCAGACGATACGGGGTACCCTGGATCAGGTACGACCCAGTCAATATCCTTTAAATCTTCAGCCCTCGTAGGTTGCTTTCTAAATAGCATTTGAAGTAGACAACAGAATAGAAACAACAAAATCTTACCTACAATACCCACATACAAGTAGCAGCTGGCAGTAATGAGATTAGAAACAATTTTCTAGCAATGTAAATTTAAATCAATGGAGGGCTTTAAGGAGTGTATGGCTATTGTACACATATGTAATGCTAATACCAATTTAGTGAGTTAAAAAAATCAATAATTACAACACTTTTTAGGGAAGAAATTCTATACCCTACGAGGTTTGAATCCGAGTCGTTGTTTCTAGAATTTGTCAAAAAGCAAATCTAATGCAAACAATTTTGAAGGATTACCCTGACTTCTTCCTAACTCTATCCTGAAGAATGCTTTTTTTCTCTCAATCTCTTTCACTATTTCTTTTGTATCTCTGTATATGCTCTTGGATTTATCCATTGAAAATTGCTTTTTCACTTGTTTGTGCCTTTTCAGGCTATAGGAGATGTATCTTCTTTTTAACAGTTACATTAATCCCCTGCTCTCGGCACTTCTTGCATTTCCCATTAAGTTGTGATTACCTTACGTGTATTACATGGTCACTTGCTGCATGTCCTTAGTTTATTTTTTGGTGGAGTTTCCAAAAGATGTTCTTTCATTTGATTTAGATTCATTACTATTAGAACTTTGATAGTTCTGAAGCTCAAAGATCAGTTCAGAATCTGTTATTACTTGGATTATCTACAACTTAAGAATATATGCATATATAGACACATGTTTATGTACGTGCATTTTTAGGAACAAGCGCTAGAATTTATTAGTGCACATTTTTACTGTTTCACCTGTACATAAAGTTGAGAATTCTCTCAGCGCATATTAGACATCACTGGCAAAGATTATAGTGTTAGAATAAATACACTTTAAAAGAGTATATTCTAAAGAATTATATCGCTATTCGAGTATAGGTAAGTTATTAGGTTTATAGATATTTCATTCGCGCAATCATCAGCCGTTTCTTAAGATTCACGAGTTCTCTAAATGAAAATTTGTTACTGGTATGTAACCTTTGTGTATTACTTGCTTTTTTATTAATAGATAATCATTGAAAGAGATTTATGTGCATAAGGACATATACTCTTATCAAGTGGAATTATAATGGAGCTATAGTAAATAAATGCATAATGATTTTCATTTTAGAATTCATGGCAGCCATTAGGAAGAAATTGGTTATTGTGGGTGATGGTGCCTGTGGTAAAACTTGTTTACTCATAGTCTTCAGCAAAGACCAGTTTCCTGAAGTATATGTACCCACGGTATTCGAAAACTATGTCGCAGACATTGAAGTCGACGGGAAACAGGTGAGTCTTCGGAAGAGATACTTTGTGATTCTTGTAACTGTTTATGCACCATACAATATACTATATAAAACGTTATTTATAACAATAGGTGGAGCTGGCTCTTTGGGACACAGCTGGACAAGAAGATTATGATAGGTTGCGTCCGCTGTCGTATCCTGACACAGACGTAATCCTAATGTGCTTTTCCATCGATAGTCCCGATTCCCTGGAAAACATTCCCGAGAAGTGGACACCAGAGGTGAAGCACTTTTGCCCGAATGTGCCCATCATACTTGTTGGAAACAAAAAAGACTTGCGCAACGATCCTAACACCATCAAGGAGCTTAGCAAGATGAAACAAGAACCAGTAAAGCCCGAGGAGGGTAGAGCTATGGCCGAAAAAATTAATGCTTTCGCTTATCTTGAATGTTCTGCTAAAAGTAAGGAAGGTATTAGGGAAGTATTTGAAACGGCAACTCGAGCTGCGCTACAAGTTAGTATCCCCGAAGTTCAGATATGTTTCATGAAACTGTTCAACGCATATTTGATATGTAATTTTGGTTGAATCTTTTTTACTCACGTATGCAATTGCTAACTTGCACAGTAGTACGCATGTCGTATACTCTTCCTCGAAAACTCAAAGTTACAAATCAGAAAAAATGTTAACATTATAACAGCGTTAACATATGAACAGTATAATTTCATAAAGTTAGATGTTCATGCCACAAGAATATTACTGTAATTGGTATTCTAATTTTTAGGTAAAGAAGAAGAAGAAGGGAAGATGTTGGCTTCTTTAAGTAAAATGCCAAGTGTACCCGGTAACGGGCAAAATAATGGAATTGCGGAGCTAGCTGCAATGGAGCTAGTTGTTATGCCGGAGCCCCCCAGCGGAAACCATAATATAATAACAACTTATCTTTAATTATTTTACACAATAAAACAAATCTATGCAGAAAAAAAAACGAAAAACAACCACAAAATGCGCCCGCAATATAAAGAACTGTCATTGATAAAACCGGAGACTTAAAAAAAACATTGACTAAATTCAATACAAGTATATGTGCTATATATATGAAAAAATCATAATGTATATTGTAATGACTACTTGATTGTATTTTTTAAATGGTAATGAATTGTGCTTCGAGTTTAAACAATTAAACAATTGTCATACCAACTATTTACATTTACGGTACATAATTATCTATATCATTCTATCAATTATTACTATTATTATTAGTATCTCTCATTACTATTATATGCATTCTACATTTTTTTTTAATCGTAGTGGCTGTTTATTTTTGGTAATAAAAAAAAGATACGTGAAAGAAAAGGACGACGGAGTTGGGGGAATTCGTAACAAAGTTAAAGAGAGAGAGAGAGAGAGTGTGCGTGTGTGTGTGTGAGAAAAAGAGAGCGCACGAGCGAGAAAAAGAGCGAAACGGGGAGAGTAGAAACATAATATGCAATGCAAAGTCATAGAAAGCAATGTAAGAATTAAAAACAGATCGTTAAGAATTCCAATTGTTACGTCACTATTTTACTGAACTATGGCATTATCGATATTTCTTAAACAAGCAAACAAAAAAAGTAACAAACATTATATTACAATTATAAAATTGCGTAAGTAGACCAGCGGATCATTTTGATCTATACGAATACCATCTAGGCTAAATGTATTATTATTATTAATTATTATTATTATTATTATTAATTATTATTATATTGTAATACGATGACACTAACATTACGGATTATACAGCGGCTCTATTATATTTATGTATTTCGACAACACATCCCTTGTGTCCAATCAAGCATATACAAACAATGTTCCGATTTGTTTGTTACACGACATATTCGATTGAATTGATCCGTCTTGCTTAATTTATAATTGAGAAATATTTCTGAACAACTCTATTAACTTAGAGCAAAGATATATTTCACAGAAAACGTTGGCTCTTACAGCAACGTTGCGCAACGTACACGACAATTGCTTTCCAAAACCATTTTTTGATCGAAAGAAATATGTTCTTTAAGGAGAAGAAAACTATCGATTGATTTACCAATTTCAAGAAGTTACCTTGTAAAGCATTGATCATCGAGCCTGTTAAGTTATCCTGTACTTTCCTTCCTTTTATTTCTTGTTCTTTCGTTTCTCTCTTTCGTTGATGTGGATACATACTGTTTTATACGCTTTCAAATTTACAAGTCTTCTATAACAATTAATCTGTAAGGTTCATAAGGTCGTTGCTTTTTGCAAAAACTACTGAATTTACGGCTGCAATGCAGTCCTGGCCATTGATTCAAAGAATGACTGTGGAATTGTGTTCAACAAACGTTTTCTTTTTAAAACAGTTAGCAGTACTACCGTTAAATTACGCTTTTAAACAGACACCTTCGTGAAGCTGCAGTCAAAAGCTTTGCAACGGTGAAGATCATCTTGTTCATCGTGGATCAACGGATGGATCGAAGGAACACGATCGACATTGATCAACTTTTCGATGCATTAAACTTCGTTGTGTTAAAACGGTGAGCAAGACTTGTTTATATAGCGTTCAAATCAAATTTATTGTACGCGTTCGAGTGATCAGAAGATGGCTGGTAAAGGATTAGAAATTTTTAATCTTTAATAGGAAGATCCGTTGCAGAGTTTGCGAAATGTTCTCTTATAATAATTTCTAGATCTGTACTGTTAATTGAAACTGTATCAGTGAATCCTTTATGGACCATTTCTCTTATGGTGTAATAAACGCGATTGTGATTTCGAGCAAAATAAATCCTGAAAAATTTGTATAAACTACTCTACCATAACTTTTTATACAATGAAACGTTATGGGATCGCCGGTCTCGTCGAGACATAATTTATTCTCTATCAAAGTTTTGATCTTTGTCAGAAAGAAAAAAAGCGTTCGTGGGACTGATTTTTTAAAAAGGTAATATACTGTCACGCGACTAGAGCTCAAACAATAGCTACTGATACTTTTTATAACAGAGACTAAGCGTCGATAAATGCACAAAGCTTTCGAGATAAGCGTAAACGTTTTATTGAAGTTCTTTATGTTTGATGAAAGTCGAAATGGCAGTGATTTATGCGCGACAAACACAAATAAGAGATAAGAATGTTATCTTTTTTCTTATTTCGATCGTCCGTACTGGTCCATATGGGATTTATAATTGTATATGTATAAATGTTCGTATATGGGATAGAAAGATGTAATATGCCTCAACGAAGTGGCTCGTACAATTTTTGTTTTCCAGCATTTCTTTGCGGTGGGTATGCAAGAGCAATAAAAGTATGAATTACTTTGATTCTCGGTTGTTCACGATACAATGTCGCGAGCAATACACGTGCATACATATATATATTATATATATGTTATACTTAGCGAGCGTATTACCTGTTTTGTTGGTTTTGAATGTTGAAGATGTTACACGAGGTACGAACCGAACAAGAGAAAAGAAAAGAAAAGAAAACCGTTGTCTTCGAAGTCTCCACAATCCCGTAAAGTCCCCGTACAATTAGTTTGTATAATATAGCTTGTCGTGCAGCTAACTTAAGAAGTTGAAATACTTCCGAGAACGAGAACTTGACGATTCACACACGTAGCGTTTTCTTCAATATCGAAGTGAGAACCGTTACTTTTTTATAATTATCACGAGAAATGAATTCGAACGTGAATTTCGTAGGATTCTGGCAAATTGTTCTCTAATTAATTAGCTTTTATATGTAAGAAGATATTTACTCCACGATTGCTGTAATAATAAATTGTAATTAACAATAAAAATTACTTGTCAAAATTTCTAAATTGTTAATTTACTAAATTAGGCGAATTTACTAAGCGAAAATCATTGTAATTTTTCTCGTAACATATTAAAGGTATCGTAAACTCTCGCTTACCAATTTTATCGAACAAAATTTGTTTATTTTTTTTGTCAGAACGCATTTCCTAAATGTTTGCATAACCGGCGAGTTTTGACAATTACAATCGTCGTCCTAAGAAGGGATATCATTGGTTGCAATGCATCGAGTTTCATATAAAACATTTTATTTCTTCCTTCTTTCTCTTTCGTATAAACAAAATTATATGCATCAACTCGAGAACCTACCGTAGTCAAAATGCGAGAGAATGGAATGAATCGACTGTTAGATGTAAACCTATCCAATCTGGAAAACATTGCAATGATAATTCTAAATCAGTTCTGTATAGTTTGACGCGATATACAATATTATAAAGTCGTATTAATACATATTGATGATCCCTATGCTAACGACATTTCACTTCGCATTCAGATACTCCGTAGAATTGAACTCGACACGCATTATTCAAAGGAAGAAGGGGACATCTCCCTGTATCACTCAAACCTCTATCTCTGGAACTAGAAACATTCTTATTCCTTACATTTAATTGAATGTCACTCTTCTCGCCACACTCGTAAGTCTCACAAGGAAAATCTGATTGCAGATGCTGCTGAGAGTTATATTGTATATATATAAAAATGTAGCAATCATATCACGTATTTGTTATGAGAAGAAAATTTACAATTCCTCGTTCTTAGGCTTGATCGACTTGCCTTTTCGATCAAATCCTTTAAGTTCGTCAGTTGCGTGCTTGGCGATGTATTTGATGAAATCGTCGAGTCCTCTTCCACCCTCGTACTTAACAGGCTTATCTTTGGCATCCTTCGGCGCCCAGAAGAGCGTTGGGAATCCGCCAACCTCGTAAGGCGCCGGGACGTCGTTGGCAGTAGCATCGAATTTAACGATCGCAACGTCTTCGTCTGCAAGTTTTTCACCCAACTCATCGTAGACAGGCGCCAACTTCTTGCAATGTCCGCACCAAGGAGCATAGAACTCGATCAACGTATCTTTGTCGTTGTTTGTGACAACTTCATCGAAATTCTTCGCTACTGCGACTTTAACATACCCACTGTTATCTTCAGGTACAGTTTCGGATTTCAAATAAGGTTCCAAAGCGTCTGCCTCAAGGTCTTTCAAAAACGTTTCGAACGTATCAACCGAGAACTCGTCTTTCATAACGAACTTCTGGTTCTTCGCGTTTTTAGCCAATACCACGGGTTTGTCACCCTTCACAAAGTCGATTCCAAAGTCGTTCAGTTCGTGCTGGAAGTCGTCTTTCGATGAAATAGCGAAATTCAGTTTGGGGAAGTCCTTTGCAACCTTGATGATCCTGTTGCGCCAATAATTGGTACCCTTCGGGTTCTTCACATAGTCGACGGCATAATAAGAGACTACCAGAGGATTCTTGAATTCTCCGGCGTTGTCCCTTGTGCGAACTCCGGCAATGCCAAAGCTGAAAAACAGAAGCGTATCGTTGTATCAAATAGTTTCCAAAAGCTCTGTAATAGAGATAATTCTAAAACATACTAATTTTTAGTAATAAATTCTTGAACATCGGTGATCGAGTTGCCAGCCTCGAGTTTCACGGTGTTCGGTTCAAACTTATTCTGCAGGATCTTTGGTCGGTACAGAACAATAGTGTTCCTGAAATTCAATGCAATATGCGGTCATTTCATATTCAATATTTCCTCGACAATTTTATATACAATTATTTACTTGTATCCTTCTTTCTCCATAAGTGATTTAGCAGTTGTGTGTGCGAATCTGACTTTTTCTTTAAGTTTCTTAGACACAGTGTGGAAAGACGTTGCCAAGGGTGAATCTTCCTTCTCGAAGAAACCAACGAAACCAACTTCGTCAGAGTCTAAGAATGATTTCAGACAATCTTCTCCAGTTAGTTCCTTCGAAGCTGGGCCAACTTGTGCCTAACGGATCGAATTTAATCGTATTCAAGATCGCTGGTTCGTATAAACATGAGAAGATTAATTCCACATACCTTCATGTACTTAGCAATTCCAGCAGCTTCCCTGGGTCCATTGTAATCGCTAACAAAGTCTCCTTTGGAGAAGATCTTCAATGTTGGATAACCGCTGACAGAATGCTTGGTACAAGTCTCTTTCCCGCTTTCGGTACAATCTACTTTTGCAAGAGTAATGGAGGGGTCGTTACCCAACAGCATCTCGGCAGCTTTGGCATATTCTGGCTTCAAGCGTTTGCAGTGACCGCACCTTGAGAGTTAATAAATAATTATTTAAAGTAAAAAATCTACTTTTGCTTTCCAAAACGGACAATATGCAGAGTACACAATCTGAATTTCAAACATCTGGCTCTGGGTTCAAATTTGAAAATATGATATAACAAAAAATTCAAATAGAAGCAGAAATGAGAAATATGAATAGAAGTAGGAACAAGAACAAGGTCTCGTTGGGTTAACATCGCGAGCCGGCATCTCGTATCGCAACCGGAACTTTGAAAATCGTTGGTACTTCTCGTTTTTCTCAACAATGACAAATTCGATAAAACGACCACGAAAACAAGTGTGTAAGTATAACTTGAAGAATTTAGAATTTCCATAAAATTTCTTACCATGGCGCATAAAACATAACAAGCGTGTTCTCGAGCCGCTCTAATTCATGGCTGAAAGTTTCGTCGGTGAGCTCCAGCACGTCCTTTTCCTCGGCTAGGACGGTGACCAGAACCAGGGAAAGAATACCAAGGTACTTGGACAGCATCGTGGATCACGCTGCAGCTTGTTAAACGGAATCAGCTTCAGGTTCAGATCTTTCCTCCGGAGACACACTGTCCGTCTAAGTTTTAAGACGTGGCTTTCACAAGAAGTTAGTTAGAGCGGCTAGCGGTGCAAGGTGCCCCGCGCAGTGCTGTCGCCTCCTGATTGGCTGTTCCTTTCCAGATACGTGTGTGTATGCGTTCGTATCCTTGAAACGCCACGTAGCGTATAGGGTGTTCCTAAAATCGGCGACCAATTCTTGCTACATTCCGTTGAACATTTTTTTTTATTTTATTCTGTGAATTCATATCAATATTTTTATCCATGTACCTGCGAACATCGAATAGGAAACATCAAAGTGTTTCAATTTAATCTGCACAGTTACGATGACTGTTTATCTATTAAACCAGATTAAACATAATCGGACGATTAACAGTTTCAAGTACACTCCGTACAGAAAATAGAAGACAAGGTTCCAGACGAGGACGAGCAAGCGATAAAAAGCTACATTTTGTTGCTTTTGATTCTAGTGGGGGAAGATATAAGAGACTTTACGCGTGCAACGGTTGCGTGTACTTTTGGTACAAGACCTGTTCCGGTGGACTTTATTCTCGCCGTTTCAAATAGTTGTGATGCCCTCTGTAATAAGTTCGAGGAACTGAAAATAACCGACATGCTTAACAGTTTCGCTGTAGATGGCGCGATATGTATCTCTTATCGCATTTATAGTTTTATTTGTTACCGCGACCGTGTCCGCTTTTTATGCGACAATAGTTCAACGAGTACACAAGTTGTAAATTATTCGCGTGATCTATACAATAGTTTCATAAATGCAATCATTGTTTTCATGTATATGGCAGCGATTGCTTACTCCTTTAATACATTGAAATAATTAANATATAATAATAACACTCTTGAAATAATTTATTTCATGAAATAGAATCTGAAAAATGAAGATTTATCATGGCCATTGCTCTATTTTTAAGAACAAGAATAGTTACAGATACGTTCCTGGTATCGAAACAGGGTAATCCCCGAAAACTGAAGAAACAGGAAAATCCGTAATTTATACGCGTGCTCGGTGCCTAATTTTGCCGAGGCAGTAGCTTTACGCAAGTCGATATCTGTTCCTTGGTCGTGAGTTAGCAAAAACAAAATGCGAAAAGCGTGGGAAAGTTTAACATATATACCGCAACTAATGAGCTGCATTTGATCGAGCCGTTTTAGTCGTTCCTGGTCGTTCCCAAAGAGTGCCAAGTGATCATTTCGAAGTCCACGATCAAATTTGATTCCCCTTTATATTATGGTGAGCAAAAAGTCTTCAGCGTCAAATAACTTAACGAATATTTTACTGAAATATTTGCAACACATAAATATTACGAAGTAACAGTTTCAGCGTTGTACGTGTTTTATTGTAATGTCATTATGGTGTTTACACTTGTGTTTCAACTTTTTCGCTTAAATACTTTGTTGCGTGACGCGAGTTCGATTAATTAACCACGCTGTATAAATGTACTTTATCGGAAATAATCGATCCTACTATCGTCATCGCACAGAATCGGATATTTTTATCAGGATGGTTTCATAACTTTGTGAACATGATATTTTTGCAATGTTTGCAAAAAAAATTTTGACACTCGTAGCACATGAATATTCATAATTTTATCGTTTAAATGACGTACGATGCAAGAGGGCTCGCAAACACTTGTGCGATGTATTTTCACGCGAATATTAACAACAAAATGACGAACGATGACTATTGCAAAAATACAAAGTAAATTATGAAGTGAACGTGTATAGTCACGCTAACAGGTGGTAGCGATTCAAGAATTTATGGAAATTCCTTTTACGTAAGTCACAACGTTGCAAGTGGGTTTGATTTATCGTAATGAATGGCGGATCTTGTTTAATCAACAGTCGTTTAGATGGTTAACGGGATCGCCAATAATTCGTCTTGAATGCAATCGGACTAGTTATGTAAAGATATTCTATTTCTAGTCGCACGTTCATTCTACATTTTATTTCGTCTTCGTTTCTCGTTAATCGATGCGGTCGAGTTTTATGCAGTTCGAAACTTCAACAACCGAAAACAGAATTGTCGCTTTAATTGTTTGAACTCGTGTCATTTTAACCGCCAAATATATCAGATTCACTTGCTGAAAGTCGCAAGTCACAACAGGTATTACTCAGCAATTAGATAATATTCGTATGATATAACCTATAAGTGGTTAAAAATATTGTGCGTGTGGACCACACAAAACAGTTCAATTATTGTGACAGTCATTTGGCGTTTGAACACGTGTGGTTAGTGGATAAAGAAGGGAACCGCAAAAAATAGGCCATGAGCAATACATATATGTATTAATGAAAGTAGAGTTACGTGACGTCACGACGTCACGTGACTTGACAATTGATAAGCAGACCTACCGGAGAACTGTTACGGGAGGAGATACATATGTTCAGTCTTTGACCAGCTGTCGACGTGACAGTTCGACTGCTCCTGAATACCTCGCTAGATCTCTCCATTGAATCCAATTCATTTGGCTATCAGCCGTAATATACACGTGTCGTCATTGTACCTACGTATTTTCAGTTTGTTCGCCAGTGTGTTCATTACGTCAGCGTTCACCATTTATCAGCTACTGTGAAAGGTAAGAGATTATTGTGTCACCACCGATTATGGTGTTCACTTTCTTTTTTATTCGCGAGAAGTATTGACCTACTTTCGACATCGGATTTANTATTAATATATAATAATAATAATATTAATATATTATATTTAATATTAATATATAATAATAATATTAATATAATAATAACACTCTTGAAATAATTTATTTCATGAAATAGAATCTGAAAAATGAAGATTTATCATGGCCATTGCTCTATTTTTAAGAACAAGAATAGTTACAGATACGTTCCTGGTATCGAAACAGGGTAATCCCCGAAAACTGAAGAAACAGGAAAATCCGTAATTTATACGCGTGCTCGGTGCCTAATTTTGCCGAGGCAGTAGCTTTACGCAAGTCGATATCTGTTCCTTGGTCGTGAGTTAGCAAAAACAAAATGCGAAAAGCGTGGGAAAGTTTAACATATATACCGCAACTAATGAGCTGCATTTGATCGAGCCGTTTTAGTCGTTCCTGGTCGTTCCCAAAGAGTGCCAAGTGATCATTTCGAAGTCCACGATCAAATTTGATTCCCCTTTATATTATGGTGAGCAAAAAGTCTTCAGCGTCAAATAACTTAACGAATATTTTACTGAAATATTTGCAACACATAAATATTACGAAGTAACAGTTTCAGCGTTGTACGTGTTTTATTGTAATGTCATTATGGTGTTTACACTTGTGTTTCAACTTTTTCGCTTAAATACTTTGTTGCGTGACGCGAGTTCGATTAATTAACCACGCTGTATAAATGTACTTTATCGGAAATAATCGATCCTACTATCGTCATCGCACAGAATCGGATATTTTTATCAGGATGGTTTCATAACTTTGTGAACATGATATTTTTGCAATGTTTGCAAAAAAAATTTTGACACTCGTAGCACATGAATATTCATAATTTTATCGTTTAAATGACGTACGATGCAAGAGGGCTCGCAAACACTTGTGCGATGTATTTTCACGCGAATATTAACAACAAAATGACGAACGATGACTATTGCAAAAATACAAAGTAAATTATGAAGTGAACGTGTATAGTCACGCTAACAGGTGGTAGCGATTCAAGAATTTATGGAAATTCCTTTTACGTAAGTCACAACGTTGCAAGTGGGTTTGATTTATCGTAATGAATGGCGGATCTTGTTTAATCAACAGTCGTTTAGATGGTTAACGGGATCGCCAATAATTCGTCTTGAATGCAATCGGACTAGTTATGTAAAGATATTCTATTTCTAGTCGCACGTTCATTCTACATTTTATTTCGTCTTCGTTTCTCGTTAATCGATGCGGTCGAGTTTTATGCAGTTCGAAACTTCAACAACCGAAAACAGAATTGTCGCTTTAATTGTTTGAACTCGTGTCATTTTAACCGCCAAATATATCAGATTCACTTGCTGAAAGTCGCAAGTCACAACAGGTATTACTCAGCAATTAGATAATATTCGTATGATATAACCTATAAGTGGTTAAAAATATTGTGCGTGTGGACCACACAAAACAGTTCAATTATTGTGACAGTCATTTGGCGTTTGAACACGTGTGGTTAGTGGATAAAGAAGGGAACCGCAAAAAATAGGCCATGAGCAATACATATATGTATTAATGAAAGTAGAGTTACGTGACGTCACGACGTCACGTGACTTGACAATTGATAAGCAGACCTACCGGAGAACTGTTACGGGAGGAGATACATATGTTCAGTCTTTGACCAGCTGTCGACGTGACAGTTCGACTGCTCCTGAATACCTCGCTAGATCTCTCCATTGAATCCAATTCATTTGGCTATCAGCCGTAATATACACGTGTCGTCATTGTACCTACGTATTTTCAGTTTGTTCGCCAGTGTGTTCATTACGTCAGCGTTCACCATTTATCAGCTACTGTGAAAGGTAAGAGATTATTGTGTCACCACCGATTATGGTGTTCACTTTCTTTTTTATTCGCGAGAAGTATTGACCTACTTTCGACATCGGATTTAACGTCGATAAATAAATATTTCTGCTATCGTCGTTAAATTGTATCGAATATTCATTGAAAGAATTTGTTCTAGGAAATCCGAGAATCATGCCTTGTCCGTTCTTAACTCGCTTGACTGCCAACTATCTCCACAATTATGGTTCTTCGGTACTGACCAACTATCGTCAGCTTTGTCCGTTTATGTCTCAGTTCATTAGAACTCGAGCAGAGTGCGTAGAGACGCAGCAGAAAACTGTGAAAACCCAATGTCCGTTTCTGGCCCAAGAGCATGATATTGTGAAGACTGTCAACCCTGTGGTCGAGGAGGACATTAGAAACAAAGTTTCTAACGAATCGAAAGAAGAATCAAACTTTGCTTATGAGAAATTTTTTCATGAACAGATCATGAAGAAAAAGAAAGATCATTCTTATAGAGTTTTTAAGAAAGTGAACAGACTAGCACAGAACTTCCCGAGTGCTATGGAATATTCCAAGGAGCCAAAGCCCATCACTGTTTGGTGTTCTAATGATTATTTGGGGATGTCAAGACATCCGGTGGTGACAAGTTCTGTTCGGGAAGCTCTGGATAAGTTTGGAGCAGGTGCCGGCGGAACAAGAAACATATCCGGCAACTCTATGGGTCATGAAATGTTAGAAAAAAGACTTGCAGCCTTGCATCAGAAAGATGCTGGTTTATTATTCACTTCTTGTTTCGTTGCTAATGATTCTACTTTGTATACTTTAGCAAAACTTCTACCTGGTTGCCATATCTTTTCTGATGCTGCCAATCATGCTTCCATGATTCAGGGAATAAGGAACAGCGGAATACCAAAGCATATTTTCAGGCACAATGATGTACAACATTTAGAAGAACTGTTATCCAAAATGGATAAGAGTGTGCCAAAAATTGTAGCATTCGAAACGGTACATTCTATGACCGGTGATATATGTCCTTTGGAAGAACTGTGTGACGTCGCTCACAAATACGGTGCCCTAACGTTTATTGACGAAGTACACGCGGTTGGCCTGTATGGATATTCAGGTGCTGGAATTGGCGAAAGGGACTGGGTACTTCATAAAATGGATATAATTTCCGGCACATTAGGCAAAGCATTTGGAAACGTTGGTGGATACATTGTTGGTTCGGAGAAACTAATTGATATGATACGAAGTTACGCCGCGGGCTTTATCTTCACGACATCCTTACCACCAACAACATTATACGGCGCTCTGGCCTCTATCGAAATTTTAGCATCAGACGAAGGGAGAGCACTGAGGGCTGCTCATCAAGAAAACGTAGCTTATATGAAATTGAGTTTAACCGTGGCTGGTCTTCCAGTAATACCATCGCCTTCGCATATTATTCCAATAAATGTAAGTTTCCATAGAAGTTATCAATAATATATTGAAATAGTTCAAATTCATGCTCCATTGTAATTTTTCAACAGATTGGAGACCCGTTATTGTGCAGTAAATTGGCTGATCTTTTAATACAGGAGAAAGGTCACTATGTACAAGCAATAAATTATCCTACAGTACCGAAAGGGCAGGAAAGATTAAGGCTGGCTCCTACTCCAGAACACACTCGGACAATGATAGATCAGTTTGTGAAAGATTTATTAGATGTGTTTGATCATCTAAATATATTGTAGAGAGATTTTACTAGACGATACGATTAATGTGATACAATATTGGAGATACATTTACATATGTTTATTACAATGGCTGATAATGCACAGTATTCTCAATCATGTTACTTACACATTCCAACAGTTCGATTAAAAAACTGAGCGAACTTAATGATGTGTACGCTTACCAATAACCATTGAACATTTTCAATATCGTCGATCTAATGTTATTAGTAATGACTATCAAGAAGATTACTACCAAAAATATAAAATATCTCGGGAGCACCGCCGAAACAATAGGATTGTCAGCTCCGCGATCGTCAGATATTTTTGTCATTTATGAAACAAACATACTAACACTAATATATTGGCTTGGCGTCAGGTCATTCGGTGTAAGAACTAAGTAAAGAAAACGGTATAAGGAAATAACTGATCTAGTTTTTTTCTCCCCGAAAATAGCTAAAAATTTAAAATCGAATTTTTCGAACGTGTTCGAATTCAAACATTAACGCTCAACGACGCGCATGCGCACACAGAAAAAGAATAGATGGCGAGGTCTTCGACGCGGGATTTATCCATGGTTTCGAACTCTCAGGAAGATAAGATTTCTACAATTTTTATCGTGTCCCTTTCTTTTTTACCAATAATACCGCGTACATCAGTTAATACAAAACTCGATTTTTCGCATACGAACAAATTCATTTTAAAGCAATTACGTATCAATCGTGTCCGTTACCTATTAATTAATATATGATAGTTTTTCCCACTGAAATATTTTCATTAATTAAAATTAAACGACTATTTAAGATAATTTAAATTGTAGGAACGAAATAACAAAAATATATTAGTGCTTTAGTTCCGTTGATAGCGTAGAAGAAATCGGAGAAATCCAATCGAAAATAGTGTCTTCTATGTTATGCCACATAAGCTGTTTAAAACTTTTGTTTTATTCGACATTAGTTTATATATTATTTTATTCTTGTAAAAAGGATGATTCAGGAAATCAATATCATATAATATAAGTATGTATACGTGTATACGACTCTAACTGCTCGTACATAAGGTTAGGATAATATATATATATATACACACGGATGCATATGTACCATCTACATTGTAGATTTGCAACTGTAATATACACACTGTCGTCTTTTAAAGCGTACGTCGATGAAGTGCATTTTAATTTTGTAAAGGCTTGTGGTTATGCAACAGTAAAATGATAGTGGAACTTGCAAGAAAGTTACACAGAGTTATTGCTCTTAAATGGTTTTCCGTCTTCAGTTCAAATATAAATCACTTACATTATTGAAATGCTAAATCGAAGACACTACGGAGGTTAGGATGAGAAGTTTTACTAATATGTTGAAGATGTTCGTCGCGTTTTTCTATGATTACGCACGAGGATTATCCTACACCATCACTGCAATCTTGGTTCTGTGCTATTGTCTAAATCCAGCTAGATTTGCTTCGCATTATACGTTCATAAAGACGGAGGATATCTACAATGAGATGGAGAGATCATACCCGGCAAGAGACAACTCTTGCACAGTTGCGATTAATACTAAAAGATATTTCAATCGTTTGCTCTATCCCGAGGAACATCCTCGAGAAAGTCCAGTAACAATGGCACGACGCTTAAGTATATTACCCGGAGGACAATGGAAGCCTCTCAACTGCCATCCTCTCTTCAATGTGGCAATTATACTGCCTTATCGTAACCGACATACACAGCTTGCCATTTTCATGAACTATATTCATCCTTTTTTGCAAGCTCAAAATCTTGACTACAGAATATTTGTGATAGAACAAAGTCCAATGAGAGAATTTAACCGAGCTAAGCTCTTTAACGTTGGGTATACAGAAGCGACTAAAGTAAATGATTTTCATTGCTTTATTTTCCAAGACATAGATTTAATACCTCAAAATCCTAATAATATTTATGCCTGCACCAAAATGCCCAGACATATGAGTTCGAGCGTGAATACATTCAGATACAATTTACCTTATACTGGCTTGTTTGGCGGTGCGATAGCACTTACGCGCAAACAGTTCGAAAGAGTCAATGGATTTTCCAATGTTTTCTATGGATGGGGTGGCGAAGATGATGATTTTTATAGTCGTTTGCAATCCAGAGGTTTTCAGGTACAATGGTTCCGGTTCTAGTAAAATACAAGATAAGAGATACTAATATTAAAAGTGCTAATATTTATTTCGAATTTCAGGTCATTCGATTTGGTCCTGACATTACTCAATATTATATGCTAACACATAAAAAAGAAGTTCCAAGTAATGCGAGATTTGAGAATTTAGAGACTGGTGCTAAGAGATATGATACTGACGGAATCAGTAATCTAAAGTATAGGGTTTTAAACCATCAGTTGAGGCCGCTGTATTCATGGATCTTAGCAGACGTGTAAATTTTCACGTGTTCAATGTTGTGAGTTCGCGAACAAACTTAGTTCTTTCAAGATATATGTTGTAATTTCATTTGATAACAAAGACATTACCGCAGAGAGTTACAAAAACATGCACAAAGAAATGTTTTGTAAAAATTTTCTGGTAGCTCGTAGATCCAAGAGAGGTCGTTGTAGAATTTTTTATACAAGTATTATTCTGTATAGTGTATGTATGTGATATTATACCAAAGATATTGCCATAATATGTTTATATCATTAGTATTTGGTGATGTAAAACTAAAGAAATGTTTCATCGGTAAAAACGATCTGTTGTGATATTACATTTTAAAAACAAACAGGCAACAGTTCGTTCTCACATCACGACGCAATTTGTTAAAACTAATTATCTGCAGAGTCCAATAAGTAGCAGAGACAGGTGTCCTAAATTCCGTTTCTCTTTGTATTCATACGTTGTATTGTGGAAGTCAATTTTCAATGAAAATGCAGTTTTGATAGTACAAAATGTTCTTTAAGTAAATAACAAATCGTAGAAGATTGATGTATCCCTTATTTATTTCTGGTTTGCTAGGCAGTTAAAAATAAAAATGTGCTGTTGAATAGTATTTTTTAGTATGATCTTTACATGCGTAAAAATCAGTAGTGAAAGTAAAACATTCGTTGTACTTAATTCTGAAAACGTGCGAAAAGCGATCATTTCAATCATCGGTCATTATGCAATTCCAAATAATTTTAATGTGATATTTTATTTCAAACTAATACGAAATTTCAAATTTTAAATCATTTCAAGATTGCATTAACTACATATTTAAATATTTTTAATTATACACAAGCGTGTATAAGTTAAATGAACTATTTATTGTATAAAGTTGGCACTCTATACTATTATTAGGCTTTTATTTATATGCACTTAACCACTAGTACTTTAAAATAATCTATATACGAATTGTAAACATTGCTCTTGACATTTCATTCTGATTCTAATCGAAAGAAAAAGACGGAAAGTATCTCTCAAAGACATAGTGTAGTGCAGGCATTTTTGCCGCGTGTATTTTTATTATCTTCGAACTTATCATTACATGGGTTTTGCATGTATAATTAAAAAAATAATGCTAGGGTTTAAGAATGATTGTAGAAATGTGTATATATAGTAAAGAATGTATGATCTTCAAAATTGCTACTTAAATGAGTAATAAAAAGAAAAAGCTCACGTTACATGTGTACACGAGTATAAATATAATTATCTCTCTATATCCATGTACGTGAAATCTGATATAATTACATTATAAACAAATTACGAAATTCAATGCAAATTGTCACAGCGTAATAAATATGTAATGAGTAATTAATGAATTCAGATGCACTGGATTTTAATTATAGTTAGGTATGCTTTGTCGTCAAAGAAGCATCATGAAAATGGTACTATGCAGAGTAGAAATCAAAATATTTGAGGGCTAAAGATCTCTTTCAATTCGAAGACATTTCATAATGCTTCGATATACATCTTTTACCGTTCAAGTATGAAAAGTACTGTATTGTGCACAAAATTGTTACACGGGAATTGCTTAATAATCTTTCAAACTATCTTCCTAATGGTATGTAGTTCATTCTTGGGTAAGCATTGTGAAAGCAAATCGATTAATGTAACTTCTGCTATGGGCATAAACAAATTTTTAGTTTCATCGCGGCAAATACAACTAAAAAGTAAAACGTGAACGGAAACGTATATGCAAATACTAATATTACCAGTTTATTATTATCTACTAAGAACCTTAGTATATTAATGTAAATTAATATTAGGTAATCGTACAGGAAAATATGTAAAAAAAAAAAAGATTTAACGTATATCCCCAAGAATGTATTATCACCGTTTTGAATTACCTAGTACGCCAACAGCATACTAATCGAATAATACGTGACATACCTATTCAGCTATGGAAAAAAGTTGAATACAAGTACTTGCGTGTATATATAAAATCTATGTTCAGTGAAGTCGGACATATTATGTATCGGACAGTTCTTGATAACGTGCGTACATCATTTTCTTTACACAATCTTTATAAGTGTCTCCGGGCAATGCGCTGTACGATGACGATTTCGCTCCTAAGCCAGCTGTCGGGACTCTTCTTTCCGCTTCGATGATGCTCGTTCTACCTTGGTTGGATTTTCCAAGTCCCATCCCTTCGCTCCACCCCATCTTTTGCAACAATTTATTGCCAACATTATCCGAGCCTATGCCAGTTCTCGTGGGCTCTTCGTAGGACACCGATATCTCCTCGACCCTAGTTTTCAAATATTTCTCCTTCAGCTTATTTGGCTGTGGCGGTTCTGGTTCACCATATTTCGCTCTTCTCTCTTTGGCGCGGTCCCTATATTTGTTATTTCTCTGTTGCGGGTCATTAGGATCCAAGCCGCGAACTTGATACCAATTCTCCAGATTCTGTTTATGGAGATCCGACAGTTGTTGATGCCGTAGTAATGCTTCCTTGCTCGGAAATTGTCGCTTGCACAACAAACATGCCAACTTTGCCCAATCTGTGTGCTGTCTTTCCTCCTGCTGCACGTCCTCTATTTCCTCCTCCGTGTCACTACCGCCGCCGTAGGCAGCGACCAAGCCATTGTTCCCGCTCTGGTCTTCGTCCTCGTGGAAAGAACTCGCGAGAGACTTCTTCTCCAATATGGCATACCCTGCGTCCGCAGCTCCACTTCCAACTCCTTGATTGCCATCACCACCAGCGAACTCGGAGTTCCAATTGCTCTTCGCATTCTCTTTCTTTTGATTCAACGTCTTCGCCCAGCGTTCCATGTCCTTCGCTATCTTCTTCGCAACTTTCACCTTGTCCTGCTTGCTGTCCTTCTTTTTACTGTCGTCCTCTTTGGACGATTCTTGCGCCGCACTGGTAATCGACGAAGTTGTTGCTGGATTGGTTATCGTGTTCGTGGAGTCTGTACTACTAGCGGTAGCAGTTATCGTAGTCCCGCTCGTTGTAGATCCTGTTGCTTGCGTAACAGCTGCAGTTGTCTATCAAATCGAAGTTAATACAGATGTTTAAAATCATGGAACTTTCTCTATCGAGTAACAGCTGCGTAGATTTTTAATTACCTTTGCCGGTTGATATGAGAACGATTCAGCATCCCAATAAAGAAATTGTTGTGTGTGACTATTATAATAATATTGCGAATTGGGATCGTAATATAATCCTGTACTCGGGTCATAGTAGTAACCCGACGACTCATCGTAGTGATAGGTGCTGACATCCGGAACAGCTGCAATTAAGTAAAAATTGAATAGAATATTTTATAGGAAATGGTAACAACTTAGTTTTCTCATAAAAACTTACAGTAAACTTTACCATCACCAGCATGAGCAGGCACTCTTCCACTCGCCAACGAGGTACTGGTCGGTGCCGTGGGCGTCGGTCTGTTCTTCATCTCGTCCGCATCGCCTAATTTCCTCGACGCTTGTAACTGTTGTATGGCAGATTGTGCTACGGCCGCCGCCGCGTTTACCCTATCAGTCTGGTTCAAAGACGGCAACGTGATCGCAGACCCTTGCATTATTTGATTCTGATAATATTGCGTGTAATACTGGAGATAGTGAGCTTTCTGCGCGGGCGTCTTAGCATATAAGTTGGCACTGTATTCAGCCAATTGAGCAACATCGTCTAACGTATATCTCTGTGGTTGACTGTCGTTTGCCTTCCACGTGTTCGTGTTGTTTATTTGGTGAAGCTTGCAGTACGTGATCTCGACCTTTCTACCGTCCACCACCAACCCTTGTTTGGTGAGCGCCGTGTGCAAGTACATGGCATCCACCACGTTGCCCATCTCTAGATAACAGACACCCCTGGACGTGTTTGTCAGAGAATCACGACCGATACGTATGCTACGTATAGGCATTGACGAGAGATTCTTCATTGCCTGTAACACCGAATCCTCGGTCGTCAGAACATCCAGTCCTCGAAGAAGAACAGTATTCGTAGGGTGAGGGCTGATTTCATCGCTACCCTCTCCGCCCTCTTCGCTCTCTGCCCTTGAAGCGGAACATTTAAAACATGTCTCGCGCCTCTTGAAATTGTGTGCGCCACACTGTAAGAACGACACAAGTATCTTTAATGAATCGAATACTCAAATTACACCATCCAATTTTATATTGCTTAAGAAATGTTTATATATATAGGACAAATATAATATAAAATCCTATATTTATAAATCCTATATTTATATATATAAAAGGGGTTTTACCTTAACGCAGTGCCAGTCCTGTGTGTTCTTTGCTGGTGGTTTATCTACATGGCAATCTTTTGGTATACTGTACTGCATCAAGGCACGATATTGGTCCTGCAGCATCAGTACTCCCTGAAACAGAGAATTTCAGTGTTATCCCGTCCAGCATCCTCCCAAAGCCTCCGTTAACCCGTAAACTTCCTTCTTGGTTGACGAAATTATAGTTTTCTACTTCATAGCTTTCCGTCTCGAACGAACAGTAAAGAAAATATGTCGTGGGCTTATATAAACGTGGGCCATTCCACACGGCTTGCAGATCGACTATATGTACATGCGCGACAACTTTCCTTTCTTTACTCTCTATTTCTGTGTTATTTTCTTTTTTTTTCTCTTTTCAGATTTTACACTCGATCAAACAAATTGAATTCTCACGGAGAGAGAGAGAGACAAGCAAACATACAATGATTGCTTGCAGTAACAAAATTTCATACGTGAATGAAAGAAAGTCGTGCAGAAAATTATCATTCTCATTTCAAATATGCTCGGATCGTATTCGGTAATTGCATCGAGAAAGAGAGTATGTGTGTGTGTAGGTGTATGTATGTGTGATAGAGAGAGAGAGAGAGAGAGAGAGAGAGAGAGAGAGAGAGAGAGAGAACAAAGTTAAATGATAAAAGCGAACTAAGATGATACAAGTAAATAATGTAAGCGTATTTTGTAACCGTATGAACGCAGCGGAAAACAGTGTGTGGTCTCGTTAAAAATCAACCATCATGCCGGACAACGTATGCATTTTACGCAAAGAATAAGACGATTGGAATGACCCCTCCTCCGATCTTCATTGTTAGTCCACAAAATTTTATGACAGACAGAGGATAAGGCTAAAATAAGCACGCGCGCGCGCGGAAGAAACCGCCTTTTTTTCATTTGTATCTTTTTCAGTTTCGTCTCAATTCAAGAAAATTTAATAAATCCAATGTAAGACGGAATTGCGAGAGCAAGTTAAGAAAAGTCTGCAAAGTATGTGGGGACTCCTAGATAAATAATTAGGTACGGTAGATTGAAGTAGCCTTTTTGATAGTTGAGCAGCCATGGCCATGGGGAAGGCCAGGGGGCTGCGTTACCGTGCCTTGTCGCCACGGGGCGTCGGTGGCACGCGTGACAACGCATCGGTTGGGTATCTGGACTGAACTTCTTTCTACCTGTTTCATCTCCATCCACCGTGCGGCCTCCTGAGTCGCGTTAAACTCGACGAATGCAAAACCTCGCGAAGCACCTATACAGAGCAAATACACACATATCCAAAGTTAATCCACGTATTGCCTGGGTGTCTCTACTCTGAGAGGGCAGGCAATCACAGCACCAACCATTGACAGACTGAGTTTCGATACGAAGTGTATTTTTCTTCGCTTCGTTGCTTGCTTTCATTTCCATTTGCCTAAAGCTCAGCAGAACGAATTCTCTACTCGGATGACAGGCGATCTCTGTCGTATCTTTTTAGTTCTTTTATGTTTATTCTTTTACTTTAATATAATACTTCCCCCGTTTCCACGCCCCTCGCCATCCCCCCTTTTTGGTAGCAGAAGTAGATAAGAGGAAATATTAAAACAGATTTCCTCGAAAAGATTCAGCGATACTTTTGGAAAACAAAAACTGGTAACCAATATTTATAATGTTCAGTACGGTTAGAACATGTTTGTAAAAAAAAAAAAGAAAAAAAAACAAACCGCTTTGTATACGATATAGGTAATAGAGTGCAGTAATTTTTTTTCAGACAGAGTCAAGATAATTAATTGTTGCATAAGCGAGTAGAGAGTGGTTGGTAAATTTTGCAGTTCAACTATTTGGAACATAGGATTCAGAGTAACTACAGATATTTTGCGCCACCCTTACAAGATGAATAATGAAGCTCTGATTTTCCTTTAAATACTCTTCCTGCATTTGATACTGACTTACCTTGCTCCGACAAACGAATGATTTTTATTAAATTGAGAGTTGTTCAATCTCTCCAATAATTTTGGGCTATGCAGGATCGGTACAAACATAATACTAACAGAGATCTTCGGCCGATAAAATAAAAAAATTGTTTGAAACTATATTCAGTTACTGTCAACGTTCTATGCAGCTATTAACTGACCGAACAATTATTAGGAATTTCAAACAATTTCTTTTGTCTTGATGACCATCGAATAATGCGATAATTAACTTAAACTAAACAAATCTAATGCAACCTGCTGAGATGAAAAGCAATTTGCTATTTTGCATATTAGGTAGAGGGAATAGGTGTAATTAAAGAAAATAGGGATAATTACCTGTGTCCTTTTTACGAATCAACCTGATGTCCTTTGGCATGAGACCACAGTTGAGGATGTCTTGCCGCACCTGTGATACACACATCATAATAATAACAGTGATGTATGCTCGCGAACACTGGCTCACTAGCGGCCACTTATGTCGGGCCGCTAAGTTGACAACCTACGTCATTTTCAGTTATGTGTTGAGCAAGCCCACGAATCATTATGGTGTTGTTTGGGGACTGAGATTTGTAGTGGATGCCTTCCATGGACGAACCATAGGTGCGTCCATGGTCGTGCTCAAAGTCCATACTTTCTCGACTATGATCGTCATCGCGATCCCGATCTCTGTCATCGCGTTTTCCTCTACGATCCCTATCCCTATCTCTATCTCTGTCTCTTCTCGAACGATCTCTGTCTCTGTCGCGATCACGATCGCGATCTCTGTCTCTTTCTACAGAGTCTCTATCACGTTGCCTCCCATAGCGATCCTCTCTATCTCTATAACTACGGTCTCTATCGTCTCTGCTCCTGTCTCTCCTATCCCTCGAGCGGTCTCTTTCACGGTCTCTATCTCTTCCACGATGGTTCCTGTACTCTGGACTACGATGGTCTCTATCACGATGATCGTTATCACGGTGCTCTCCGTAATCCGGTGATCTACTGCTCCCATAATCGTTACGATATTCATAGTCAGAATTGTGCCCTCTCCTTTCAGGCCCATAGCCTGGTTCCCATGGGTCGATGTTGCTACTATACATGTTGTCCATTCATTTAAGTGATTCCTAAAATATACCAGCCGTTAGTGTCATGTTATCTCCAATAATTGTTTAAAGTTCATACAATAATTTGTGACATACTTCGTACGTTCATTATTCCAAAAGATAACAAGCGAGCACTTAGATCAATTGGTTCAATTATGACAGATAGCCAATAGTTGTTTTAAAACGGTGCAAAAAGAAAATTATTAAAATATCACGAGTCGTTTCTTGCTGCCCCGTGTAATGAAAAATGTAGTAAAACGTGTATTCCAAAAATAAAAAAAGAGACGGTAACAACGAAATGATAAATTGATAGGATTTTTTATTAAATTTATATATATACATATATATATTTATATTTATATATTATATAATAATATAATTTATATATATATATATATAAATAATCATGTCGAATATAATTCAACGTCCGTTACGTTTCGTTGGAATTCTGCGACTTAATCGATACTTTCGAAAGAATTAGAGAGCGCATTACAAATTCAAATGCTATGTTCTACGTTAAACGTTTGAATCGAATATGACAGGTTTCGATAGAAATTTTCTGGGACGTAGTACAGCGTGAATATACGTTTTCTCGATAATATTAACGCGAGAAAAGTGAAATTCCATCGTATCAGTACAATGAAAAGAAGAAACACATAAACAAAGCAACGCGAAAGGAGCGAACAGAGAATTCGGAACCGCACAGAGAGAATGTAACATCGTGGTGTTAATTAAAAAGTATCGTTCAACATTACAACTGGTCCTAATCTTCGTAAGATAATGTCAAATCTTGAAATAGACGAACGTTACATCGCGGTGAATCGCTCTGCTGTATTTCTACTTACTTTGTCCGTTGTTCTTGCAGCCAGATACGAAATCGTGTGATCTGCACAATGGCGTGGTTGCGCCTTTCGTTTCTCTCGTACAATATGGCGGCGTCTGTGGAAGACGAACCCATTCCATTATGCACATACGTGGTCCGCAAGGGTTTCGTCAGAAAATTATTTTAGAGATGGCGCTGCGATTTGTCCTACGATCATTGTTAAATCCTCTACATACTTGAAAATCTCATTAGACTCACTCGAATTGTCGCTTTGCGAATGTAAAAATCCCTTTTTAATTCGTTTCTCTGTAAACATATAGTATATGCATGTACATAATGTAGTCGTTCGTTCAACGTAACCTTGGTTCGTTGTAAATTCAGGGTTAGAAATTCTCATTGTTTCGGAAATATTAAAAAAGGAAAAAGGTATATAGCTGGAAAATTTGAGATGCAGAAAAACATCGTTTACGTGTGAGTACTTATTTTCAGGCTTTATACATAGTTCTACGAGCATAAAAAGATTGTGCACATATGTATGTACAATGTATGTAAGTGCATACCAGTGCAGCATATATAAAAAGTGAAGCGTTTGAAACGGGTAACACGAGGTGACGCCACTGTGGCGAATGGTGTGGCGAAAAGGTTCTGGAAGAGCGAAAGGGATCCGTATTATACTCGAATTTTTATAACTTATAATCTGACGTCACTTTTTAACGAATATTGACTCGTTTCGACGGTGGCTCGTCATTCGACATTCCCAAAATAATCTTTGATTTTTCGAGCCGCGTCCCTTGGAACTAGTCTTACCATCCGCAAAACTCGAAACAGAACTAACCTAACGGCTAGAGACTAAAACTAACTAATCCAGTTACAAACTAAAGATGGCGTATCGAGAGTTGGCGGTATTGCTCGCCACAATGGTCTCCCGCGTAGTGACATTAGAATTAAAACAAGCAGTGAGTTTAGAATTAGTTTGTGCAGCCGGTTAAATGTGATTTACTTGTTTGTCGTTCGGTATTCGATTCCTGTTTCCCGCGAGAAAGAACATTGCCACGGAAACGAATACAAGACTCGAGGATAAAAGAATGCACAACACTTGTTACCTCCTGTAAACAATCTTCCATTTGAATTGTTATTTGAAATTTGACGAATCGCGTTCGTCAGCGGTACAGAAGAATAAGACCAGCTTTTCAGAAATTAGTTGACACGGAATCGCAGGGTGTCTGATTCGCGGAAGAACCTTCGCTGTTTTTGCTGGTCGGAAAGCGTCGAAAAAACCGGATGACCGCGGTGTCGTCAACAATGTGCCGTTGTATACGGAGACACAGTTGTCTTTCGAGGATCTTGACGCTCGCATTCTTCTTCAAGAATACGCGATACAATATCGCATTCGAGATAAATTAATTGATACGAAATCATAGGCGACAGCGTACGATCGAGATTCATGGTGCGGTTAGTGCGGTACGAAGTTAAAATAGCTCGTACGTATAACCTCAAAGCATGCGTTGAAATTCTCGTGAATTAGCATGCCGATATAACTGCCGATCGTCGTTCGTACAAGAGTAATCCAGCATATATGAAAGAACGTCCTAGGGAAATTTGAAGTCGAGGAACTTCTTCTTCTTCGTTGCGAGGAAATGCATCATCACGTGGCTATAATTCGTAAGTACGCAAAGCATTGTTTTTCAATGAAAAATTATATCGAACAAGCATTAAAAACTGTTCGATGCAACCTTGTTGCCGCAATCAACACTGTGAAACGGTCCTACGAATCAAAAGCACGTTGTCGAATTGTAAACATTTTTTAATTCTTGCGTTATTTCGAAAGATTATAAACAGCTTCAGCGTAAACAAATTTGTCTATACAACTTTCATTATCGTCCATTTGTTCTTCATTCGAATACTCCTTTTATCGGAAGAGAAGCAAAGCGCGAAAAATTCAAACCGTCGTGTCGAACGGAATCGATGGACCTCGAACGCAGGCGCACACGATCCGTCACAAAAATTCTTACCTGCACCTAAATAAACATCGAGCGTTGATGAAAAAAAGCGAACAGAACGAAGCCGTGTTTCCGTGATTTTTGTAGATGGATTTCGCGAAAGCGGTGTTGGACGGTTACATTTTTGTTGGTTAAGAATTTTGACGGAGCGAAAACACGACGACACGATTGCTTGGAAAAGTGGACTAAGTGGAATAAATACCGTAATTCTTCTGATACCGTACAAGTCGTTCCATTTTGACTATCGCACGGTTATCGTTGCCGAAGGGATTTAAGAGGTTCTCGCGACAAAAAAAAAGAAAGCAAAGGAAATCTGCGCGGGCAGATGGAACTTTCTGGCTGCGTTTCCGCTGCATAACAAGTGTCTGCGAAAGGGGTTAAGCCCGGGCAACCGGGGTCGGTCCCCGCCCACGTAGGCGAGTCGTGCGCGCTCGTTGAAATTCGGATCCGCTCGGCTGGCCGGCCAGGCTGCAGGGGAGAGATGTCTGGTTGCCTCGCGTCGGCCCCGTAGAAAAAGTATAAACCATATCCGCGCGCTCCACCCCCCCTTTTACATCCCATAAAATTCACCCTCGGCACAGCCGGGCCGAGCTTCACACCCTATTCGGAGTCGAACTTTTGTAAACATTTTTTTCCTCTCCTTTCCCGCGATTGTTTACACGTCCATCCGAAAGCGAGAGGAGGCACAATGTTGCCGACGCTGGTAATGGTATTGATTCGCCAGGGGGATACTTGAGCGCAACGTTATGAACGCAACGAAGAATCATCTTCTGTGTTTGCGCTGAAATAATCTGCTGTTATTCGAGCGTTCGAACAAGGCACACCGAAGGTACACCGAGTCGACGTTTATTCGCCTCGATTTCATTTTCTTACCGAATTCTGCGTTCTAACGCAAGAGAGAGAAGTTCCAACGTTTTCCTCGATATCGATCCTGCAGTTTCATTGTTTGCAACTGTCCGCCATCTTTCTCTGGATTCTTTGATGTCGGCTTGATGTCAAAAGGTCACGGGTCGAGCTATAAAAAAGAACGCTGTAACACCCGCTACAGCATGTACGAAAACAATGCACATATTTCGAACGTTGTTGCACAGATCGGCCGCGACCGGGAGACCGTTAATTGTGACCAGCCCCTCCTATTATTAGAAACATTTGCAACGAGATTTAACAGGCCGGCGCGCCTGTTATTATTTATCGGCATCCACGCCTCGTTATTTTCATAATATTATCGTAACCTTTGTTATTGGTCGCGCCACGTGCGCCGATGAACCGTGAACGGTTGATCCAGGCGATCACGGTGAATTCGTTATTACCGACGATTCTACCGATCGAAGAAGAGCTCCGCGAACGAAACACGTGACCGACCCTTCTTTCATGGTCTCGATGCTTCCGAGAGTCTCGTAGCTAGGGATCGTTCGAATTCTGTTACACGGACACCACCGAGTCACTGTCGCGCCATCGTGCGCGATCTTTCGAACCCGCCGTTCCGTATTTTCAACGAGCACAGTAATGTTTCTTTAATTGACGCGCGGATTGTCCACAAAAGTGGACAATTTTGGAAGAGGAGATACGATTGTTCCAGCCTTGTGGCTCGTTTTTTATGGTTATCGATTGTCAACAACTATAAAAACGAGCTGCAAGGCTAGAATAATCGTATCTCCTCTTCCCAAATTGTCCATTTTTGTGTGTAATCTGAGCGTCAATTAGAGAGACATTACTGTAATCTGAGCATGAATTACGGAGAAATAACTATAGTCATCATCGTACTCGCTATCTTCAGGATCAGTAATATAGTTCAATGCCGATAATCAGCCACGAAAATTCCCACAAAGTTAGAGCAATTTAATTAACTAAACCGAGACTAGAAAGTTCAAATTTATCATAGGGAATTAGAACTCTTTCGCGTCCGCGACATCTTCATTAAATTCAGTACTTAATACCAGTACTTAGTATAGTACTTAATTATATTACTGTACAGTAATGTCTCTCCAATTGACGTTCGGATTGTCCACAAAAATTGACGATTGTTCGAGCCTCGTGGCTCTCTTGTTACGGTTATCGATTGTTAACAACTATAAAAACGAGCTTCAAGGCTCGAACGATAGCTCTCGATTCTTGCACTATTTTAGACTGTAACAAACCGAATGTTGTCATAGTTCCTAGCATAACAACCGTTCACTTCACCGAATCGTCGAAAATTCACTGATCGACTGATCCATTTGAATACATCGGGTCAACATGACCCGGTGACCGCAGGCCGTACATTATACCTAGTGACGCATCTTTCAAGAAAATCGAGGCACTCGAAAGCCTCGGTTACAATGCGATAGATCCGAGGAGCGAAATCCGAACGAGTCGTGACTTTGCTCGCAGATCGTACGCTTCTAAGTAAAATAAATACAGTAATGTCTCTCTAATTGACGCTCGGATTGTCCACAAAAATAGGCAATTTGGGAAGAGGAGATTCGATTATTCGAGCCTTGCAGCTCGTTTTCATAGTTGTTGACAATCGATAACCATAAAAAACGAGCCACAAGGCTCGAACAATCGTATCTCCTCTTCCCAAATTGTCCATTTTCGCGCAGAATCTGAGCGTCAATTAGTGAGAATCTACAGTACACTAATGTCTTCCTTACTGACATTCAGACTGTGCACAAAAATGGTCCCATTTGAGAAGAGGAGATACGATTATTCGAGCCTTGCGATCCGTTTTTACAGTTGTCGAGCATCGGAAACTATAAATAAAATAACAATCGTATATCTCCTCTTCCCAAATTGTCCATTTTCGCGCCCAATTTGAGCGTCAATTAGGGAGACATTACCGTACAAATCATCCTCCGAGAGGCACGCGTCACGTGAAGATCGTTCAGGCTCGATTATTCTTGCAAACGAAGTGCAATCGCGTCGCGTCGAAAGTCGAACAAACAACCTTGAGCTCGGTAGAGGCGCACGGTCAAACGAATTTCCAGTGGCCATTAGGGAGGGGGCCGGGGGTACAGGGTCGGCCGCGCTTCAGTTTAAAAAGTAGGAGGGTACGCTTCTGAATCCGGTCGCCGGTAAGTGTTTATCAGAGACGCGATAACGCCCGGCGCTGCTCCGCGATAAGAGATCAAGAACCGGCAAAGGGTTGGCGTTGCACGGGGGCTTCGGGGTGCGGTGGCGGCGATGGTGGGGGATTGTCC